TCGAGATCTCTTGTCCCCATAATGACGTTTCCTAAAGAGATTGTCCTTGTTTTTACCCTTAAATTTACTAACAAAAATTATGGCTAAACTGGAATTTTTGACAATTATGCTGGTCTCATTAGTAACATGTACAAGTCATTCCAAACTTTCTACACGAACAAAAGCAGTTCCCTACATAATTTTTCATAGGCAAAAAATTAAAACCATTACAATTCTTCCATATTCGTAGTCTTACATTCGAAACACAAACTATCTAGTAGTAGCAGTACGCATCAAAAGACATAATTTCTTGATCACCAAGAAGACAAGAATTTGATGACCCAACTTTTGGGTATTGCGCAATTTGATGCCCTATGTAATTATTTTCAGGACACAGATTATGATCACTCTGATAATGAAATGGAAGTGAATTTGGTTGAAGATACAGCGTTGGATCATCATTTGCAAAGTTGATCATGGCCGTCTGATGAAGCAATATCTGTGTTTTGAGGAACTTAACATACTGAATTGCCTCTTCCAACATAGACACTGTATCCATTCTTGATCCACCAGGAACCAGGCTCTGCAAAATCTTGAACCTGTCACTGATTCTGCGCCGCCGTTGTCTAGCGGCGATGCTTTGTGGATCAGTCGACAGCTTCATAACTTTTCCTCTCTTTTTTAAGCCACCACTTTTCATCTTGCTATTCACATTACTGTTGTTTTGAACTGAAGTGGACTCGCAAGAATTGGGGTTGAGTGAGTACGAATAATCCATCCAATACTCGAAAACACAGGAGAAAAAAGAAATTTAGTTTTAGGACATGAGTTGAAGTTGAGAAGAAGAGGCAATTATGCATGTGATATATATAGTGGGATAGTATACTGATTACTGATGTTAGCTGACAAATCGTCAGCCAATCTTTGAGGGGATACGGGTGTTTAACCTAGGACAATAGGTCTGAAAATAATGAGTGCTCCACTTTCTAAAGTTTGTTTTTCAGGTTAATTTCACAAACGGTCACTAAAATTATCATAAAAATACAAAACGATCACTGAAGTTTAAAACTTTCAACAACGGTCACTGAAGGTCCAAGCAGTTTCACTAATGGTCACTTAAGTTTAAAAACTTTCACAAATGGTCATTAAAACTACCAAAATGTTTGGAATCCAAACTTAAGGACAATCACGAGACCATACAATATTTGAGGACCTCGGGTGCAAACTTTCGACAGGTGGAGCATTTTCTAGGAAGGTGGTGAATTGTGAGGATATTGAGCCACCACCTTTGGACCACCACAACTCCAACATCCAACCACCTTGGCCACCGGAACAACATACCAACTTGAAGTCCTCACTTCACTCTTTCCAACTTACCCAACCAATGGCTGAAACCCTATCAAATCCGCCTGAAATTTCCGATCAAAAGAGCCGCCCAACTAATGGCCGGAAGGTGGTGAATTTTAAGGATTTTGAGCCACCACCTTTGGACCACCACACCTCCAACCTCCGACCACCGTGAAGCTCTCACTTCACTCTTTTCAACTCACCCAACCAATGGTCGAAAATCCATCAGATCTGCCTAAAATTTCCAATCAAAGAAGGCTGCCCACACAACCAAAAACAGCCGAAAATGCAAGCTGTCCACCTAACCAAAAACAATCGAAAAATGCAACTTCTGGTGACACCCACCACCAGCTTGACCAGGATCATCATTACGCGCCCAAAGTAACAACAAACAATTCAAAAAATCAAGATCTCTAGCCATTTCTTGCAATAGTGAACTCGGACCATTTAGCCCCAATTTTCGGTGCTGATGACACCACCCACAGTAGCTGACCACCACCCCTAGGACCGCCTCTTCATGATGCATACAATGAACCTCTGGGTCACCGCCAATTTCGAACCAACATGGCTGAATCGAAAAAATTGGTCCCAATTTCGAACCAACACCGCCAATAACCACGCACAGATCTAGCTCTTTCAATTCCACCTCCGCACATCATTGAATCACAAAATTGGTCCCAATCTAACAACATCATATGACCATGGGTAACAGTTCAATTGCACCAACTAATCCATTTCAAGCTGGTGGTGTCGTCGTTCAATTGCCCACGTTTCAGATTTTTCATAACAGTTCAATTGCGCTTGAGGTCCTCAAATATTTTATGGTCTCGTGAAAGTTTGAATTCCAATCATTTTGGTAGCTTTAGTGAGCACTTGTCAAAGTTTTTAAACTTAAGTGACCATTGTTGAAAGTTTTAAACTTCAGTGACCATTTGTGAAGTTAACTCTTTGTTTTTAATTTAAATAGTGTTTAAACAAATAAAAAGAAATTTTTTTCCATCCAATCAAAGTTAAAAATTAATTTCCTCACACATTTTTTGAAGTCATTATTTTTATTCCTAAAAATTACTAATAATTTTACTCGAATAGAGCAGTAGATATTTTTATATTCTTTATATTGAGTTTATAACTAGATGGTGTTGCTCCAAAGAGGACGGACATGAGAAACTAAAAAGTATTAACTCGATATGTAACTTAAAGCATGAAGGGCTAACTAGGTGGTTTGATAAAAACTATTATCAAACAGTTTTGTTTGATTAAATATTACTTTAAATGATTGTGTACAGATATTTAACTCTGTATGATCCCCATTTTATAAAAAAATATTTCTTTCTTAAACTCATTATTAGTAATATATTTTTTTCAATAAAATAATTTTACACATTCTCCAAAATATAACAATTACAAAACCTATTTCTTCAAAAAAAAAAAAAAAAAAAAAGGAGACAACACGCATTTAGAATGATGCTATTTATCAATGTTAATGCTTAATACTTTTTACGTGAAAGTGAAGGAATTACTATATTGTCCAATGAATAAAAATAATCTTAGCCCTCGTTTGATTCCCCTTTTTTTAAAAATGAGAATAAAAAATATAGTAGTTATAAGATCCATATAAGAGATAATAAGTCAAATATGATGACTTCATATGATGAATAACGATAATATTTTTTTATTTTTATGGCCAAATAATGAAAATTAAACTAGGCTTAGTCTTTGTTTGAGTTACTTTTTAAAAATTCATTTTTTCCAAACTTATTTTCAATAAAATAATCTATGACTTTTCAAAAAATTAATATTATAAAATCTATGATCAAACAAAGTCTCAATTTTATAGTCAGTGCCGTGCTGATGTTAACCACAACCCCTACTGCTAGTGCGACAAGTTGAACTATGTTCTACGGAAAAGGAAAAGTAGCGATTAGACAGGTTAGGGTTCAAATCCCAAGGAAATTGAATGAATCCCAACAAAGAAGGGGGCCTCGGGCCTCCCATCCCCTGAAATCAAAGAAATTTGTCTTAAGTAAAGAACCGGGAGTTTCGTTGTTAGCCTCATAAATCAGCCTTTTTCCCTAGGATTCACACTGTTTAGTTAAATAAAGTATACCGTACATGTTTTTTCTCGTTAGTGAGTAAAGTACTTTTTTGATAAGTGATTAGCTCTTCTTTTAAAGGGTATTTTAGATCAAAGTAGCACGAATCATATCGCATCAACAATGGGATGTCCCACTCAAATCAGGACCTTAAACAAGGTCATTCCAAGAAATAATAGGGCTCCAATACTAATAGACAACATAATCGAGAGTTAGAAGTGTAATTGATCGAAATAATTTACGTCACATCACCAAGACTTAAATATTTTGGGCTCGATATGCCCCTTGTCGGGTCTTCAAGCTTTCTAAAAAAGGAACAGTTATTTTCAGTGTGCACATTAATGACTCGATTACATTGTATTTTGATGTGGTTTTAGGTGGAACAGTTTAATGAAAAGAAGTTAAATTAAATGGGCATGTCATGAATCACCATACATACATCAGCAGCAGGCATAGCAGAAAATGTTTGTGACTGATGTACATAGGGGGATTGAGGGAGACAGTTAAGAAGGTAATTTCAGTTGAACAAGTAACTATAATTAAGGTTCTACCCAACCAGTCCGTAAAACCCGTGAATTCATGTGCTCTTGCCTCCCATATATCTTTGTTCAAGTACCAAAAATATTAATGTTAAAAGACAATTAGCAAAATGAAATTCATGTGAGATTTGTGTTTATATGGTAGAAACTATAAATTTTTTATATTAAGAACTTAAATATGTGCAATTAAAGATACATGGAAATTTGATATGGTATCAAGGTTTGAACTGAACTGCAAAAGAAGCCCGTCTATACAACTTGTCAATACTGCAATATAGAGGTCATAACCCTCATGGATAAGGGCACGGAGGTGTTCTATTTGGGGTATTTGTACCTATTATAGAGGCCATTTAATTTTAGAAAGCTCAAAAAAAAATTTATGTTCACTTGACTACGAAGCTTCAAGAGCCAAAAAGTTGCAGCTGATAGGACACTTAACTGAAGCTCTGTTGCTGACTTGCTTCAAAGACCTTTGCAAAATGCATGTGATGGTACAGGGATAAGTATACTAGTCTGATTTTTAGATTGTGACATTGTGTGCATACACAAATATACAATCATACCATATATATTAGGAAAATGCTAGTCGAACAGGTCCAAGGACAGGGTAAAAAACAGGGTTTCAAATTTGGGTTACGTGTCCATTGTTTTCTTGTCTTTTTGGTGGGAAACAAAGTGAAATAATTGGAGGGAAACCCACTGAAACACACTATACACCCATTTCCTCCCTCGACTTTCCCCCAAATTATACGAATTAAACACCCATTTCCTCCCTCTTCCCAAACGACTTTCCCCCAAATAATACGAGTAATCTGCCACAGCATGATTCCAGCTCCTGAAAAAATGTTACTAACTCAGCAACGACATTCCTGACCATTTTGGTGAATTCCGACGATCATACGAGACCCAGCCTTCTCCAGTACGAGTGAAGAGCTCAGATTTTGGCCCATTGCAGAAGCTCACGGAAACTAGAATTTTTTTGGTTGAGGTTCAAAATCCCAGTACATATAAAAGGTATGATAACTAGAATTAGATTTTTGAGGGTTCAATGTCTAATTTTTGTGTGCATTAGTGCAACTGGAAGACGACATTTCTCCTGCAACTTAGGCTTTAGTGTATGTAGAAGACGCCAACGATTATTATACTAGTTCCCCAATGTAGGCATGTGTTTTGATGGCAGTAAGAAGATAGCAGTGATTATTATTTCTCGTTTCCTTTTGGATATGTAGTAGTAATTCCTCTCTTTTTCCCCAATATTCCTTTTCAATATGTAGTAGTAATTCCTCGTTTTCTCCCTAACGTCCCCCCTCTATTAATGTTATGAATTCCATTAAGAGTAATTCATGAAATTTTGGAGACTGTTAATGTTATGAATTCCACTAAGAGTAATTCCATTAAGACTGTTAATGTTATAAATTCATGAAATTGTAGACTGTTAATGTTATGAATTCCATTAAGAGTAATTAAGACATAACTAACTCTAAATCCAAATACTTATGTCACTGATTCAGCTAAGCTAGCTGATGAAGTGCAAAAGCTGCTTCAACTACATTGACAAATAAAATCATGCTTATTTTTCTGTCTTAATTACCTTCTTAATTTTGTTTTATACGTTTTTACCTTCTTAATGTTCCATTATTCACAAATTGTAAAATACTAGCATTTATATCAATTTTTTCCAAGTTGTAATGAATAACTTTGTCATGCAACTGTATTAAGGTGTGCTTCGGTTTGAAATTCTCTTTGCAACAAAATAAGATGAAATGAACATGACCAAATTTTTTGTTTCTTGGCAGTAAGAGAAAATATGGACGACGTTGAAGACAACCAAGACGATGTTTTGGGGCTATCAGAGGATGAGAACATTATGAAGCCCATGAACGAAATTGGCGGTGAAACATCAACGGGAGATGGCATAATTGTACCCGAGGTGGGAATGTTGTTCAAAAATGAACAAGATATGTATGATTTCTACAAAAAATATGCTTACACTGTGGGCTTTCCAGTTAAGAAAAGGAATTCCAAAAAAGGGGACGATGGTGTTTTAAGATATTTGACATTGACATGTAGCCGTGAAGGTGGAAGCATTGGTAATAGTAGTGGTTCTTTGAAGCCGCACCCAACAGTGAAGCTGGGTTGTAAAGCCAGAATATCTGCATCTTGTGATGTTCTAGGAAATTGGAGAATTAATGCAGTAAACCTAGAACACAATCATGATACGAGTCCTTCTAAATCCCGACTATATCGATGCAACAGACAATTGAGTGCAGCTATGAAACGAAAGCTTCAGGTGAATGATTTGGCAGGAATTGCGGTTCACAAAAGTTACAACTCTGCAGTTGTAGAAGCTGGAGGTTATGAGAACATGTCTTGTATTGAAAAGGATTGCCGAAATTACGTAGAACGCGTGAGGCGATTAAAACTTGGAGAAGGAGATGCTACAGCAATTCAATCTTACTTTTCCAAGATGCAAGCACAATGCTCGGGATTTTATTTTGATATTGATTTGGATGAGGAGTCGCGGTTGAGAAATGTGTTTTGGGCAGATAATCGGTGTAGGCAAGCGTATAAGGAGTTTGACGATGTTGTTTCATTTGACACCACTTATCTCACTAATAAGTACGACATGCCATTCGCTCCTTTTGTAGGTGTAAATCATCATGGACAGTCGACACTGTTGGGTTGCGGTTTGGTATCGAACGAAGACACTAATACTTTTGTATGGTTGTTCAAAACATGGCTTCAATGCATGCACGGTCAAGCTCCACATGGTATAATTACTGATCAGGACAGGGCAATGCAAAATGCAATCGAAATTGTCTTTCCAAATACCAAACATAGATGGTGTTTGTGGCACATCTTAAAGAAGTTGCCGGAGAAGTTTGGCTACCACGTGGATAAGCATTTGATATTTGGGGCTCTACACAGATTGGTGTATGATTCACAGTCCAGTGATGAATTCGAAAATGGTTGGGGAACGATGATTGATATGTATGAATTGCATGAGAATGATTGGCTATCGGGATTGTACGAAAACAGAGGCCGTTGGGTTCCCTGTTTCTTGAAAACGACTTTCTGGGCTGGGATGTCAACTACACAGAGAAGTGAGAGTATGAATGCATTCTTCGATGGCTATGTTCATTCCAAATCCTCATTGAAGCAGTTTGTTGAACAGTACGAACGTGCCCTTAGAAGTAAAGTTGAGAAGGAGGTCCAAGCTGATTTCAAGTCTTTCTCGCAGATGGTGCCTTGTGCAACACAGTTTGAAATGGAGCAACAGTTTCAATCAGTTTATACCATTGCAAAATTTCGTGAAGTTCAAGAAGAGTTCACGGGAAAGGTGTATTGTGAAGTGTGATCTACTTTGGATGGATGTTCAAGTGCGACCTACGAAGTAAGAGAGAAAGTAATGTATGAGGGTTCTAAGAGGATAAAGACATTCATCGTGTCATTTGCAAGAGATAAATGTGATATCATCTGCACCTACCACCTTTTTGAGTTTCGGGGAATACTTTGTAGACACGCGATCACAGTGTTGGCGTGGAATGACGTGACACTTATTCCAGAGAGGTACATATTGTGAAGGTGGAGGAGAGATGTTCGAAGAGCACACACAAGGGTCGCGGTAAACTATGATGGATTAGTTAGTACTCCTGCGCAATTGAGGTATGAAGAGATGTCTAAGGGTTTCGCGGAGGTGGCAAACCTCACAGCGGATGATGAAATCCGTTCACATGCAATGATGGAGTGGATACGATTTCAATGTAAAGACCTTGCAACTACAAAATCGAGTACAGGAAGCAATCTCATTGACACTCAATGTCTAGTTTTATCGAATACTGCGAGCGTTACCATATTGGATCCGAAGTTCAGTCGAAGAAAGGGAGCGCCGAGGAAACTTAGAAGAAAAGGCCCATTGGAGAGTGCGTCGAAGAAATCGAAGGTATGTCGAATAAAGTTATTTCGGATTAGTGGATTTTTCAAAATATAAATTACAATTACCTTCTATGCAGAAACATGCCGATTCGACATCAACCCATCATGACAGACCGATTAAAAGCCAAAGTCATATGGTTGATGGACAAATCAACATCCAAGCACCGCTCCATCAACAAAATTCGATGTTGCCCCCAATGCTGTTCTCCCTTTCACAGTTTTCCATCCCCACGCCATTCTCCCTCCCCCAACATGTCTCGCAAAGTACAAATTTGATCCACTCCCAAAGTCCAAATTTTATGTATACATCGCAAGGTATAAAGGTTCCTCTTATATATGAATTAAAAATACATGCGGCCATTTTGATCATTAACCGTTCACATTGTATGTTAATGTAGGTCAATGTATGCCATTATACTATCCAAACGCAGCAGATGATGAAGATGGTCGAGGTAGCACATGACGTGCTTTTGTAATTGAATAGATTCTCCCTCCCCCAACTGTGGGTTAACCTGGTTACTGATGGGCCACCAGCTACGGCTCTGGGATTCAATCCACCAGACAAGGATATAATGAAGAAACCACCACGAAGAAGCGATGACTCGTTGATCAGTCCATGGATTCTCTTTCGGTATCTGGTAAGCTTGATTCTAACACCACGTCCAAATGTACTTAGAAACAAAATTTTACTTGAAAATGTAAATTTTAAGTTACTATTAAGCTTATCAAAATTTGCTTTGGATATGTATTTAATCTTTAAACATTTATGTAGGCGATTGGATCTTATGTTGGTATAGCAACTGTATTCGTTATCTGGTACACTCGTACCTCTTTCTTGCCGGTGATGCCTTGGCAGATGACCCGGGTGTTTTTGTCCATGAATACAACAGGCGGAGGTGGGGGTGATCCAAGGTTGCGGTACTGCTGTAGCTGCTTTGTTTTGTTTTGGGCAATTTTTTGTTGGATGATGTTTTCTGTAGACCACGAATATGATTCCTCTTATGGGATTTGGTATGGTTTAGAAATGTCTAAAAATATCTGCCATTATTTTTGTTCCCGTTGTGAAATTCATATGTTTATCGATTTGAATGTCAAAACTCCTTGTCTTGTCTAGCACTGGTTTGAAATAATTGAAATGTGTTTGGTCTTGACTTATGACTTTATTATTTTGCAACACATTTATTTGTCATTTGATTATGTGCATGTATGCAGAAGCATATGTTTTAAGAGATAAATTGGACATTGCAGGCGTGCACAAATGCAAGAAATGGAAATTTTTTATCTTGGCAGCGTATATGTAATTGAGTACAATGTATCCCATATTTAAACTCTTAGGTTCTGCAACTGTAGCTCGATTCTTCCGAGTAAAATCAATCATATTCGTATGGGAATATGTTCCCACTCGATGTCTTGACATATAATGGTGGATAACCTTTAACGTCAAAAATTTCACTTGGGATATCATTTGCAGTAGCATCGATTTTAGTAATGATAACATCAACATCGCTTTCAAATGATACGGAAACTTCATCCAAAATTGGAGCAAATTTTTCATAGTGTCCACTCCTTTCCCTGAGTTGAAGACCATGTCCTGCAAGTTGTTAGCAACCACCACCTTAACAGGTTAACATGTTCTGCAATCTAGAGATTCAGGTGTCATGATAAATTAAATATAACTCTTGAATATGAAATTCTCAACGATAAATAAATAAATAAATAAAATATAAACAAAACGATATAATAAATAATGAGATAAAACACCATATTTACATGAAAGAACTCAAACTGGAAAAGTTATAGATCTCATCAATTAATTCATAGTTTGATTTTACAAAGAAACATATTAGAACTAATCCAAATTAAACTCAATTTAAGATAACTACATTAACATGCTCAAAACTGTATAAAAAAAGATTTTAGCTAATAGATGCCGATGTTATCACCTACATACAAAATTTTCTAAGAAAACATATTCAATCATTATCTACTAATCAAGCTGGCAGCTTCTCTTTCAGATTCCCTTCCGCGCTTACTTTTTCCGTCTGCACCGTCAAATTCACTGAAATCTGGACCTCTTTATCATCACTTATTCGAACTCGAGATTGGAACGAACGGGACATTTCTTCAACTGTTTCATTCTTTGTAGGGTTCATCGACGGACCACTTGATTTTTCATTTATAACCCACTCCCAAAATCCACAATTGTTACTGCAGCAAAGGAACAATCTCCCTTTATTTTTAGTCTCCTTTTCCACGACAAAACATTTCTCGAATCCATGCTTACATAGTGGGCAAGGGCGTTTCTTTTTGCACTCGGCAAAGAAGTGATCTTTACCTCTACAACTATGACAGACTCCGGAGTTCGTTCTAGGCATGCTAACATGGAATCCACCAGCACCAAGAAAGGTGAAGTCAGTAATGTTATTCGACTGGCTGAAGTTAGGAAAACAAATGCACATATACAAACGATAATGCAACATTTCAATAAAAAAATACATCTAATCACATCTGATTAAACACAATAAAACCCCCACTTAAATCTGTAAAACAACCCATCTCAACCACCAACAAGAAAACGGAATTCACCAGTCCACCAATTCAACCAATCCACCACTACGAATACCCAACAATTCTAGTTAACACATAGATCAATATAATCAGTAATCCAGCGAGTAAATATAGTTCCTAATTTTACCTCTACTTCACATACATGACTTCAACCTCTAAGTAGGGAGCAACAGAGTGAAATATGAAATGGAAAACATTATACAGAATACAAAAACACGACTTCGACCTCTGACTCAGAAATACATACATCAATACAGATTAAAATCTCGAGATATAATATACTCATAGCAAAGAGATAGCTGCATACATATATACACAGACATACAACGACCTCTCATAGCTGCACTATAGGCATAAATACCCAAGAAATACAGTTCAAACACAAATTCAATAATGTCAAAAATCCACTAATTCAATAAGGTTACGAAATCGACGAACACGACGAATCGCACTACTTGATTTAACTTTGTCATACTACCTGGGCAATGCTGAAAAAAAAGACTTCTTTCGTTATGCGCCGGTACAAGAAACACTCCGATGGTTAAGACGATGGCGGTAATTTGTCGACAACAGGTCGCAAGATCTGTTGGTTTGATATACCAGAGGTCGGAGATGGTCACGGCTTCAATGACGACCGGATATGGTAGGTTGACCGACGACGAAGCCTTTCACAGCAGTGGGAGAGTCGATACCACGATTGGACGTGTGGCCGGAGATGGGTTCTTACGCTTAGGGCTTCGAATTTGGGGCTCTTCAGATTCGGTTCGTGGGCGGGGAGGGGGGGAGAGAGAGAATGTTATGTCTGAATTAATCTTTTCCATTTTTAATAAGTGTCTACCAACTTTGCCCTTTTTCTTCACCGTATTTACTTACTTAACCAAGGCCACGTCAGCGTGTTTTTGCCTCTGTTTTTCGGCCTGGACGAGTAGCGCGACCCTATATATTATTACAATTATTCTAGTTGGACACGGGATAAAGACAGACTAGAAAACAGGCTTTTAAAAAAATTGACGTGTCTGACTAATTTAGAACAAATTGGAGGGAAGGCAAACAAAGAAAAATATTTTGCACAAAACTCAAGCTGCCTTGGAGGGAAACCTAAAACACGGAAATTGGGCAAAATTGAAGAGCACTGCACGCCTCTTTCTTTCAACACCTTTGTCGGGCAAAATTTATGTAAACTGCACATCTTTTAACCGATTATCGAAAATTATAAGGTGCCGGCAAGGAGTTTCGAAGGCTTGGCAACGTCGTTGAGAACCCAAAAACTGCCAGCACTTAAATGCCGTCAGCATTCCCACTTCATGTTTCCTTGAACATCGACATATTGGGGAAAATTTGAAGGTGCTAGCAAGTGCATTATTTATCTTTTTTAATGCATTCATTATTATTTTATTTTTGTTTGGAATTATTGGATCTCTGCAAATTAAGCTTCAAAAGATTTAGCTTAAAATGAACATAAATTTCATTTTACCAAGTAAAGATAATTTGGGTTTATTTCCATTTCGCAGTTAATTCATACAATAAATTGTGATTACTACCTTCCCAAATTTTTTTATATGCATGAAGATAACTTTACCATTACTGCCTTCCAATTTGCTTTTTTATTATTACTGCTCTTCGGAATGTGGAGTAGGATTTAGTCCATAACATAGTGATGTTCTGGCTCCCTACCTACCTTCTAGCACAAGAATTACTATTTTACTTAGATGGGTGTAGTCAGGCGTATAATTATCTTGAAAATAAGAAAGGTGAAACTTAGATGAGCTTTTAATGTTGCAGCATCACATTTGCAATAGGGATGTAATTGTTCTACTGTATTAACTTGTTCTTCGGTTTGAAATTCTCTTTGCAACAAAACATAATGAAATGATCATGACCAATTTTTTTGTTTCTTGGCAGTAAGAGAAAATATGGACGACGTTGAAGACAAGCAAGATGATGTCTTAGGGCCATCAGAGGATGAGAACGTTACGAAGTCTGTGAATGAAGTTGGCGGTAAAACATCAACGGGAGATGGCATAATTGTACCTGAGGTAGGAATGTTGTTCAAAAATGAACAAGATATGATTTCTACAAAAAAATATGCTTATACTGTGGGCTTTCCAGTTAAGAAAAGGAATTCCAAAAAACGGGGACGATGATGTTTTAAGATATTTGACATGACATGTAGCCGTGAAGGTAGAAGCATTGGTAATAGTTGTGGTTCTTTGAAGCCGCACCCAATAATGAAGCTAGGTTGTAAAGCCAGAATATCTGCATCTTGCGATGTTCTAGGAAATTGGAGAATTAATGTAGTAAACCTGGAACACAATCATGATACAAGTCCTTCTAAATCCCGATTATATCGATGCAGCAGACAATTGAGTGCAGCTATGAAACGAAAGCTTCAGGTGAATGATTTGGTAGGAATTGCGCTTCACAAAAGTTACAACTCTGCAGTTGTAGAAGCTGGAGGTTATGAGAACGTGTCTTGTATTGAAAAGGATTGTCGGAACTATGTAGAACGCATGAGGCGATTAAGACTTAGAGAAGGAGATGCTGCAGCAATTCAATCTTACTTTTCCAAGATGCAAGCACAATGCTCGGAATTTTATTTTGATATTGATTTGGATAAGGAGTCGCTGTTGAGAAATGTGTTTTGGGCAGATAATCAGTGTAGGTAGGCGTTTAAGAAGTTTGGTGATGTTGTTTCATTTGACACCACTTATCTTACTAATAAGTACGACATGCCATTGATTAGTGGAGCCTTGGGGTTGCTTTTATTCAAAGAGCTGAAATAGCATTCACGTGCGGCTGCTTGATCTCCCTTGACCGTGGCTATCCATTTCTAAGTTTCGAATTTTAAGCTGTGTGGTAGATAGAGGTCATAGCTTTCAGTTGTTTTAAGGTAGCCCTTCCAAGGATTCTCATTTTATGCGAACCTACTATACATTATTAGGAAGTCCAAGTATCCATAGAATACAGTTGACTCCTTATCTATCTCAATGGCTAGTGTAATCTATCGTCTGGGGATTAAAATGTCTCCAATGTAGTCGTAAAAGGGTTCAGCCATTGGTACCTAGGAATGATCGACATGCATTCGGCTAAAAGCNGGCAAAATTGAAGAGCACTGCACGCCTCTTTCTTTCAACACCTTTGTCGGGCAAAATTTATGTAAACTGCACATCTTTTAACCTATTATCGAAAATTATAAGGTGCCGGCAAGGAGTTTCGAAGGCTTGGCAACGTCGTTGAGAACCCAAAAACTGCCAGCACTTAAATGCCGTCTGCATTCCCACTTCATGTTTCCTTGAACATCGACATATTGGGGAAAATTTGAAGGTGCTAGCAAGTGCATTATTTATCTTTTTTAATGCATTCATTATTATTTTATTTTTGTTTGGAATTATTGGATCTCTGCAAATTAAGCTTCAAAAGATTTAGCTTAAAATGAACATAAATTTCATTTTACCAAGTAAAGATAATTTGGGTTTATTTCCATTTCGCAGTTAATTCATACAATAAATTGTGATTACTACCTTCCCAAATTTTTTTATATGCATGAAGATAACTTTACCATTACTGCCTTCCAATTTGCTTTTTTATTATTACTGCTCTTCGGAATGTGGAGTAGGATTTAGTCCATAACATAGTGATGTTCTGGCTCCCTACCTACCTTCTAGCACAAGAATTACTATTTTACTTAGATGGGTGTAGTCAGGCGTATAATTATCTTGAAAATAAGAAAGGTGAAACTTAGATGAGCTTTTAATGTTGCAGCATCACATTTGCAATAGGGATGTAATTGTTCTACTGTATTAACTTGTTCTTCGGTTTGAAATTCTCTTTGCAACAAAACATAATGAAATGATCATGACCAATTTTTTTGTTTCTTGGCAGTAAGAGAAAATATGGACGACGTTGAAGACAAGCAAGATGATGTCTTGGGGCCATCAGAGGATGAGAACGTTACGAAGTCTGTGAATGAAGTTGGCGGTGAAACATCAACGGGAGATGGCATAATTGTACCTGAGGTAGGAATGTTGTTCAAAAATGAACAAGATATGATTTCTACAAAAAAATATGCTTATACTGTGGGCTTTCCAGTTAAGAAAAGGAATTCCAAAAAACGGGGACGATGATGTTTTAAGATATTTGACATGACATGTAGCCGTGAAGGTAGAAGCATTGGTAATAGTTGTGGTTCTTTGAAGCCGCACCCAATAATGAAGCTAGGTTGTAAAGCCAGAATATCTGCATCTTGCGATGTTCTAGGAAATTGGAGAATTAATGTAGTAAACCTGGAACACAATCATGATACAAGTCCTTCTAAATCCCGATTATATCGATGCAGCAGACAATTGAGTGCAGCTATGAAACGAAAGCTTCAGGTGAATGATTTGGTAGGAATTGCGCTTCACAAAAGTTACAACTCTGCAGTTGTAGAAGCTGGAGGTTATGAGAACGTGTCTTGTATTGAAAAGGATTGTCGGAACTATGTAGAACGCATGAGGCGATTAAGACTTAGAGAAGGAGATGCTGTAGCAATTCAATCTTACTTTTCCAAGATGCAAGCACAATGCTCGGAATTTTATTTTGATATTGATTTGGATAAGGAGTCGCTGTTGAGAAATGTGTTTTGGGCAGATAATCAGTGTAGGTAGGCGTTTAAGAAGTTTGGCGATGTTGTTTCATTTGACACCACTTATCTTACTAATAAGTACGACATGCCATTGATTAGTGGAGCCTTGGGGTTGCTTTTATTCAAAGAGCTGAAATAGCATTCACGTGCGGCTGCTTGATCTCCCTTGATCGTGGCTATCCATTTCTAAGTTTCGAATTTTAAGCTGTGTGGTAGATAGAGGTCATAGCTTTCAGTTGTTTTAAGGTAGCCCTTCCAAGGATTCTCGTTTTATGCGAACCTACTATACATTATTAGGAAGTCCAAGTATCCATAGAATACAGTTGACTCCTTATCTATCTCAATGGCTAGTGTAATCTATCGTCTAGGGATTAAAATGTCTCCAATGTAGTCGTAAAAGGGTTCAGCCATTGGTACCTAGGAATGATCGACATGCATTCGGCTAAAAGCACTTTCAAATAATATATTAAAGAGCTGTCATTACCTACCAACATATAGCTAAGGCCATTGTGAGCTATGATATCCCGCAATTCTAGTGCACCGTAGTCGAGATATATGACTTTCTATTTATCGTTGTTATTAAAAATTATCAGAAGAGATGCGGGTTGGAGGTTATCTCTGATCTAGAAGTTCTCTAATATAGCCTTCTTGAAATCTCAAACATAATTCTTTTGTGTGTTTGCTTTCTTCCAACCAAAATAAAAACCTCTGATGATTGTATAAATCTCTCTTATTGAGGTCAGGAGTATTGGTTGCCTATTGGTGCTTGCGAAAAGTCTGCATGTCTTGATTTACGTCCACAACCTCGTCCTTTGATACTTAAGTATGTGGGCTTCCAACTTTTAGATCCTTCATGTATCCTACCTTGTAACCTCGTAGCATTCATCTATATCATGGTCTCTGCTATAATGAATTTTATAAAATTTTACTTCATGTGTACTTTTCTTTTGTAATCATCAAAGAGCGGATAATGATGCTTTGACATTCTAGGTGTGTACACCAAGGTATTTCCCTTGAGAACACGTCCCTATTCCACTTTCTTCATTTCCCAATCGTATCTTCAGTCTAGATCTCTTTTGTGTCAAACTTATTAGCTGATGATAAGATGATGGGTTTTTGTTACAGATGTCCCACTGGAAGGGAGTCATTCGTAAGTACTATGTTCCATATATAGCATCACAAACCTCCTTTTGTAGATGTAAATCATCATGGACAGTCGACACTGTTGGGTTGCGGTTTGGTATCGAACAAAGTCACTAGTACTTTTGCATGGTTGTTCAAAACATAGCTTCAATGCATGCACGGTCAAGCTCCACATGGTATAATTACTGATCAAGACAGGACAATGCAAAATACAATCCATATTGTCTTTCCAAATACCAAACATAGATGGTATTTGTGGCACATTTTAAAGAAGTTGCCGGAGAAGTTTGGCTACCACGTGGATAAGCATTTGATATTTGGGCCTCTACACAGATTGGTGTATGATTCACAGTCCGGTGATGAATTCGAAAATGGTTGGGGAACGATGATTGATATGTATGGATTGCATGAGAATGATTGGCTATTAGATTGTACGAAAATAGAGGACGTTGGGTTCCCTGCTTCTTGAAAATGACTTTCTGGGCTGGGATGTCAACTACACAGAGAAGTAAGAGTATGGATGCGTTCTTCGACGGCTATATTCATTCCAAAACCTCATTGAAGTAGTTTGTTGAACAGTACGAACGTGCCCTTAGAAGTAAGGTTGAGAAGGAGGTCCAAGCTGATTCAAATCCTTCTCGCAGATGGTGCCTTGTGCAACACAGTTTGAAATGGAGCAACAGTTTCAATCAGTTTATACCATTGCAAAATTTCGTGAAGTTCAAGAAGAGTTCACGGGAAAGGTGTATTACAAAGTTTGATCTACTTCGGATGGATGTTCAAGTGTGACCTACGAAGTAAGAGAGAAAGTAATGTATGAGGGTTCTACGAGGAGAAAGACATTCATTGTGTCATTTGCAAGAGATAAATGTGATATCATTTGCACCTACCACCTTTTTGAGTTTCGAGAAATACTTTTTAGACACACGATCACAGTGTTGGCGTGGAATGACATGACACTTATTCCGGAGAGGTACATACTGCAAAGGTAGGAGAGAGATGTTCGAAGAGCACACAAGAGGGTCGCGATAAACTATGATGGATTAGTTAGCACTCCAGTGCAATTGAGGTATGAAGAGATGTCTAAGGGTTTTGTGGAGGTGGCAAACCTCGCAGCGGATGATGAAATCCATTCACATGCAATCATGGAGTGGATACGATTTCAATGTAAAGACCTTGCAACTACAAAATCGAGTACAAGAAGTAATCTCATTGACACTCAATGCCCTGTTTTATCGAATACTACAAGCGTTAGCATGTTGGATCCAAAGTTCACTAGAAGAAAGGGAGAACCGAGGAAACTTAGAAGAAAAGGCCCATTGGAGACTGCGTCGAAGAAATCGAAGGTATGTCAAATAAAGTTATTTCGGATTAGTGAATGTTTCAAAATATAAATTACAATTACCTTTTATGGAGAAACATGTCGGTTCGACATCAAGCCATCATGAAAGACTGATAACAAGCCAAAGTAATATGGTTGATGGACAAATCAACATCCAAGCAGTGCTCCATCAACAAAATTCGATGTTGCCCCCAATGTCGTTTTCCCTTTCACAGTTTTCCATCCCCACACCATTCTATCTCCCCCAACATGTCTTGCAAAGTACAAATTTGATCCACCCCCAAAATCCGAATTTTATGTATACATCGCAAGGTATAAAGGTTCCTCTTATATATGAATTAAAAATACTTGCGGCCATTTTGATCATTAACCGTTCACATTGTATGTTAATATAGGTCAACGCATGCCGTTATACTATCCAAACACAGCAGATGATGAAGATGGTCGAGGTAGCGCATGACATGCTTTTCTAATTGAATAGATTCTTTTGCTTGTGACACTATTGGAGGCATCATGCTTTACCAAAAATATATATTCTTGAATGTTTTGTGGGATTTTAATTATGGCAGCTACTGGATCTATATTGCACTAGAATGATTTGAGTTTTTAAGCTTCTAATATATATCATAAAATGTTTTCCCACTTGGATGAGGAGGCAGATTTGTTTTGTATATAATATGCATTGTTGGTTATTTATGCATTAGTTCTCCTAAGATGGTATTTTTGTGCGTGATTGTTTTGAAATATTTACTTGCTTTTTACTCCCAGTTTAATGGTCAAATGGAAGATATTTAAATGAGTCCTAAAGATATTTAAATGCGTTCTGATTGGTTGCTCATTTTGCTTGATGTTGCCTGGTTCATTCTTTTTCAAGAAAGCAGTTAGAAATAAATTGGGTATCTAAATTGTCATGTAGTTTCTTTACTCAAAGTGGTTGATAATTATGACAGTATTTTTATGATCTTTTGATGTTTTTCTCCCATTGCAAATGGTGAAAATGACAATATTTTTATGACCTTTTGATATTACAAATCCGCTTCACAAGTCCACAAATAGCAGGGTCAATAACATCCAAATGCATTATACACAGTGCTATCCTTTTAGCCAGGCGACTATTTTCCTTAGTTGAACCCATGAATCCACTCAGCTTTGAGCAATTACCACTTTCCTTCACATGATTAATTACCACTTCAGTCGGCTTTGAGCAATTACCACTTCTTTAAATGATTCTATCTCCAGTTCTAACACATTTAATGAATCAATAGGTAGTGCTGTCTAGGGAAACACAATTCACATAATTCCTTTATATTGTTGCATTGCTATTGTTTTCAATTGATAATATGGTACTAAAGAGTACTCAGAAGACAATGCCATATTATGCTACAAAACTTGGCTGGTCATACATTCCTTTTTTTAAGCACGTACTGAATACTTCAAATGTAATTGTAAGATTTCATACAGACCTTAATAGTACAAGAGTTCATACATAAGTTAAATCACCTACATACAAAAGTTTCTAAGAAAACCTATTCAATCATTATCTACTAATCAAGCTAGCAGTTCCCCTTTCGGATTCCCTTCCGCACTTACTCTTGCAGTCTGGACCGTCACATTCACTGAAATCTGGACCTCTTTATCGTCACTTATTCGAACTCGAGAGTGGAACGAATGGGACATTTCTTCAACTGTTTTATTCTTCGCAGGGTTCATCGACGGACCACTTGAATTTTCATTTATAACCCGCTCCCAAAATCCACAATTGTTACTGCAGCAAAGGAACAATCTCCCTTTGTTTTTAGTCTCCTTTTCCATGACAAAACATTTCTTGAATCCATGCATACATAGTGGGCCAGGGCGTTTGTTTTTGCACTCGGCAAAGAAGTGATCTTTACCTCTACAATTATGACAGACTCCGGAGTTCGTTCTGGGCATGCTAACATGGAATCCACCACCACCAAGAAAGGTAAAGTCAGTAACGTTGTTTGACTGGCAGAAGTTAGGAAGACAAATGTACATATACAATCTAAAAGTTTTCTAATTAGGATAAAGCAGGATAATGGGAAAGAGGAGCCACTCATTTAAAAAAAAAAACTACCAATTCATTTTCATTTTCCCAAAATGGGGCCCAAGCGAGGGCTAAATGTAGAAGGAAAATCTGCCATCAATCCTTCCAAATCACTTTCTACATAATCACACGAAGAATGGAATTTCACATCATCATTAAAATTGTACATTTACAATGCCTAATAAACCCAGCCTATTAGCCTGCCATTACCCATGTTTTGAACTTCATTTAAATTTTTGTAAAAGTAGTCAATTCACAAACTAATCCTACCAATTCATTTCATTTCACATATATATTCCTCTAGTTCTATCAACAGCTTCCCATAAGCAAAAACTAATGAAATAGAAAACATTGTACCCGAGCAAAGCTGAAAAAATGAAAAATGATGAAATAGAGAACATTCAACGTGCTTGCGAGGTTTGATGGGTTGCCGACGATGAAAAATTGTAGAACGTGCGACGACGAAACCTTCCACAAAGGTGCGATGTGATGGTGCCTTGGACGGTAATTATGATCGGATATGGTGAGCGATTTGACGACGATCGGATATGGTGGGTCAAGAGGCATGCGGCGCGACCTTACCCTACTTGGAATTGTGGCCAAAGATTGGAAGGTTTTGCTTAGGTTTTTCAAATTTGGGGGCTCCGATTTTGGGTATCATTTTTGTTCGTGGAGAGAGAGAAATGACTTCTCATTTATGGGGCCTTTACCCTTTTGAAAAACAAAGCACGGTTGTTGTTTTTTTTTTGTTCTTTCCAAAAAGCAATTCCATGTCAGCCTATTTTCCAATCTGTTCACGAGCCTGTATGAGTAGCACGATTGATATTATTATTATTATTATTATTATTAATATTATTATTATTATTATTATTATTATTATTATTATTATTATTATTATAGACATTAACTTTTCAAAAGTGCTTCTTGGACAGGCTTAATCGACAGACAAGAAATAGGGAATCAAAACCTCTGATGTTGCAAGTAAAATTGGAGGGAACTTATGGCCGCACGTGAGGGATGCGTGAGAGGTGAACCAAAATCTAGGGCACGAAATTAATTGAATTATACACCTTTGAAACAACGCTTCCTTCTTGCAATAATTCCAACTACTGGCATATTGCAACCCGGCAATAATTTCTTGGAAGGTGTGGTGCAATCCGACGACAAACCTGAAGCTCAGGCAGGAGTTGTATAAGAACTCCCCGTTCTCGAAGATTTGACTCCAACGAACGGTACATTCAGGTGGATGTGAAGATCGAAAATGCACAATTCGACGGACCCGAAGCACGTTCCTCTTCCTGTTCTCGAAGATTTGACGTCAACGAATGGTACATTCATGTGGTTGTGAAGACCAAAAATTCACAATTCGACGGACTCGAAGTACGTTCCTCTTTGTGTTAAAGATCCTGCCTTCGACCCGGGATGGCAAGTAAGTTTCGTGCCTTAATTTTCCCTTCTGGAGAGGTATAACAAACTAACGTGGAATAGGAAAACCATTCTACCTTTCTTTGAATGCAATATTGTGGGATAAACATTGTTAAACATATAATAGAGAACTTGGAAAAACTCCTGGAGCAACTTCCTTTTGACAAACTGATTTTGTGTATGACATTATTGTCCAAAAATCCTTGTTTGCCTAGTGAGATTATAGAAAACCTTCAAAAATATGCTTGGACCACCGAAATTAGTTGGGTTGCCAAAGATGGCTTTAAATGGATCAGGCTTGGACCACCCGTTTTTGTTCTCATTATATTTGAATACTTTGGTTTTGGGTTGGGATATCATATAATGATGATGATAAAAGAAAGAAGTAATCAAATGCTTATGTTATCATGACAAGCGCAAGAGACTCGAGTAATGCATTTGGATTCACACATGAAGACATAAATATAAATTGGCAAACTTTGATTATGGATCCAAAAATATTTCTCCCATATAGTATACAGTAGGTATATATTTAAATTAGTGAATTTGGCACTTCATAAGGCTGGGCTTCCGCTCCTGCTTTTCGTAGATATATATTAAAGTTAGTGGAATTGCCACTTCTAAGTCTAGGCTTCAAGCTCTTGGTCTTCGTATTGAATGTTGTTTGTTTTGCCCATGATTCCTATTAATTGTCGTTTGTTTACGTATTGAGGATTTAAACCCAATCTACCTCGTTTATGTGACTTTTTGTTTACTTGTGTAACAGCTACTATGGATGAAGTGCAGATTGACCATGATGATATGTTGGCTAAATCTAATTATGAAAATGTTAGGGTCTCCGTTAATGTTGTGGATGGTGAAGACTCAGTGGGGGATGGTGTAATTGTGCCTAAGGTAGGCATAGAGTTTAAGGAGTTAAAATACATGCTTGCCTTCTACAAGAAATATGCTTATGCAATTGGATTTTTGATTAAAAAAAGGAATTCGAAAAAAAGGGATGACAGAGACTTGAGATATGTAACCTTCACATGTAGCTGTGAAGGTCAAAAAATCGATAATAATAGCGGTTCCTTCAAACCCCAACCAACAATACAGATGGGTTGCAAAGCTAGGATATCTGCATTATTAGATATTCATAGGGTATGGAGAATTAACAAGGTCCACCTCAACCACAATCACGAAACTAGTCCATCAAAATCTAGGTTATATCGATGTAACCGAGAATTGAGTTCACACGTGAAACATAAGCTAGAAGTCAATGATTTAGTTGTAATTTCGTTGCATAAAAGTTTCAATTCTGACGTTGTCGAAGTAGGTGGTTGTGAGAACTTGAGTTGCATTGAGAAAGATTTTTGAAACTATATTGAAAAAGTTAGGCATTTAAGACTTGGTGAAGGGGATGCCATTACAATACAAGCATACTTAGCAAAGATGCAAGCACAGTGCTCAAAATTACTTTAGCATGGATTTAGACGATGAATCTCAACTAAAAACTGTCTTCTAGGCCAATAATCGCTGCAAGCAAGCATATAAGGAATTTGGCGATGTTACTTTTGATACCACGTACTTGACAAACAAGTATGACATGCCGTTCGTCCCATTCATTGGCGTCAATCATCATGGACAGTCAACATTACTTGGTTGTGGGTTGTTGTCGAGCGAAGATACATGTAATTTTGTCTGGTTGTTCAGAACATGGCTACAATGCATGCATGGTCAGACACCTCATGGAATAATTACCGACCAAGATCGGGCCATGCAAAATGCCATTCAAATCGTTTCTCCAAAAATAAGGCATAGATGTTGTCTATGGCATATTTTAAAGAAGTTGCCAGAAAAGTTTGGATACCATGACGACAAGTCTTCGATATTTGGGGCTATACATGTATTAGTTTATGATTGTCAATTTGTTGAAAAATTTGAGAATGGGTGGGCTGCGATGATTGACAAGTACAACTTGCAGGATAATGAATGGTTATTTGGATTGTATGAGAATGGAAGTCGTTAGGTTCTATATTTTTTTAAGGCCACTTTTTGGGTAGGGATGTCGACATAGAGGAGCGACAGTATGAACGCATTCTTTGATGGTTACGTGCATTCGAAGACCACGCTGAAGCAATTTGTAGAACAATATGAACGAGCATTGTGATGCAAGGTAGAGAAAGAGTTCCAGGTTGATTTCAAATCATTTTCACAAATGGTCTCATGTGCAATGTAATACGAACTTGACCTAAAATTTCAATCAGTTTATACTATTCACGAAATTCAGGGAAGCTTAGGATGAGTTTACGGGAAAGGTTTACTGCGATGTCATATCTACGTTGGAGGGAGATACGTAGACGATGTATGAGGAGCGCGAGGATGTTATGCATGAGGTTCGACGAGGGAAAAACATTATTTGTCTCATTTCAGAGAGAGAACTGTGACATAATTTGTAATTGCCATTTGTTCGAGTTTAGGAAAATTCTTTGTCTCCATGCAATTGCAGTTCTTATTCGTTGTGATGTCACATACCTTCTGGAGAGGTACATATTACGGAGATGGAGAAGAGACATTAGTCGAGTACGCACTAGAGTCGTCGTGAATTATGACGGTTTGATAAGCTCTCCTGAGCAGTGGAGATATGATGAACTGTGTCATGAGTTTACACAACTGGCTGACCTTGCTGCAGACAACAAAGGGCGGTCGCATGTTACACTGGATTGGATAAAACTTCAGCGCAAAGATCTTTTGATGTCGAAATGGTCGCACAGTGGAAGTAATGTGATCGCACATCATACTATTCAAGTAGCCGATCGGTGTACCGACTCCCAGAATGACGCCAGCGTGAACATAAGAGCTCCGAAATCGTCGCGTAGAAAGGGAGCGCCCGAAAAATTGAGGAAAAAAGGTCCGCTGGAGTCGAGTTTGAAGAACACAAAGGTAAATTTGATTTAATTTATTAAAAAACACAGACCCAAATATTTGATTGTACTGAATACTTTCATACTACATAAATTTACAGTCAGCATCAAGCAAAGGAAGGAGACCTACTGGGTGACATACTGATATACAAGAGAGCGCTGTCTACTTTCATGAAGCTCGGCAGCAAAACTACTCAATGCAGCCTCCGTCTCCTTGCCTACAATATTCAATGCCAACAACGTTTATCGTCTCACAGTTTACTGTCGCGATACCATTCTCGCATTCAAGGGTATTACCAATGTCAAATTACATCCCACCATCGTCATCAAATATTATGTATAGTCCGCAAGGTAAGCTCGCACCATCAATTGGTTAAAGATAAATTCTTGATGTCATTTGAAATATGCAACTAACAATGTCCATATTTCATTGTAGGTCAACTAATGCCATACTATCATCCATATTTATTGGACTATGGAGGCTCAGATTTGTGTAATGAATTAAAATTATTGAACAAATGTGATGAGAAATATTTATGTTGCTTCTTTGATCAACACAATTTATTTGTTCTAGTAACATTTGAATTTCTCCTCCTTTTTGGCTGTAAGTGCATGTCTGCATAAAGTTCTGCTTGGTTGAAATTACAGGCACTCTATAAAGAAGTAATGCCTGGTTTTGATGTCTTGGGGAAAAAATCCTTATTTCTCAAGACCTTTTGGAAATGGAGCAAAAATGAAACTTGTTAACAATGTGCTAATGGGCAGGTAATGATGCCTTCATTATTACAACACTTGGATTTGCCACAAATTGCATATCCTGTGTTAACATAATTTTTTTTTCCTTGTAGATGAGATTACCTTGCCTCAATGTTTTCTTACCATTCAAAACGTGAACATAAGCTTTGCATTTTGTGTACATTGAATTTGCGAAATTTCTGGTGTGGCAAATTTCATACGTTGCTTCTTTGGCAAATAATCTATGCATTTCTTTGTATTTATGTTGTTGCAATTTTGTGTTGTGTAAATTGGAGGAGAAATTCAGGTAGCCTCCTTCTATCTGGTCTACTACTGATGCCTTCATTTCCCAAAAATCTGAGAATGTTTTTGTTTCTTTTTTAGCACAGGTTGGTGGCCTTCTTGTTAATTTATGCTAATTCCCAGCTTATTTATCTGGTCTGCAAAATATATATAGCTATTTTTGCGTCATTTACTGAATATTGCTTGAGGCTTTCTTCTAATACGTACTTTGCTAATACGTTGCTATTGTCAAAGACATAAGAGAATCAACGCTTGAAGATATTTACATGACCTGGGACTTACTAGGCAAGCTATAGCTATTTACAAGCCTTAGGACTTCATATTTGGCAAAAGTGTACCCCTAGATCAGTTGCTTGGGCATTCTTACAATTATTAAATGTTGTACATTATGTGAACGGTTATTGAATGGTCTTAAGGAGTTTATTATTTTCGTTATGGTCTCATTAGGCATGTTCAACCAAGAAATGTATTTAAGTTCTGTTATTTTGAATATGGTTGAATGCTTATTTGATCAACCAACAAATGTATTTAAGTTCTGTCATTTTTAATATGGTATAAAGCTTATTCGTTCAATTAATTGTCTTCAATGTATCTTACGATGTTCAATTAATTGTCTTCAACATCAATGAGGTCTCTAGCACCTTTCCTTAAATATATCTAGTAGACATTTAAGTCTTCTTATTGCATTATGCCCTTTTTTTGTGCTGCGGTTAGGAGCAACATTTAAATGTCTACTAGCTATATAATTTCATTCATACAAGAGAACACAGTTCCAAATACAATAGTGGCAATACTTCAATTCAAAATATTTCACATTCCTAATCCATCTCAATAGGTACATAATACTTAAACTAGAGTAATTGGAATGACTACATGAAGACAATGAAAGCTAACACGAGATAGTGCTACACATACAAAAGTTATGTCAAAAGCCGAGAGGAAATTTCTATCTAATAATCAACTCGATCGCTTCCCTTTTGCATTCGCTTCCGCACTAGAATTCGCCTTACATATTTGCACGTTCACCAAAATATGTAGGTCTTCATCATCGTTTAGGTGAACGCGAGATTCAAACATTTTGGACATTTCTTCATCATTTTTGTTTGTCGCAAAGTTTACTAATGAAGAATTGTTGCTAGACGATTCATCGGGTGATTTTTCTTTGACAACCCAATCTCAAAATCCGCATTTCTCACTGCAACAGAGAAATAATCTCTCTTTATTTGCTGTCTGCTTCTCCACCATGAAATACTTCTCATATCCATTCTTGCATGCCGGGCATCTGCACTTCCTTGGGCTTTCATAAAATAAATGGCCTCTATCTCTACAACTATAACACATTCCTCTATTCTTTCCGCCCATTCTGCCATACAAATAAATCACGATTAACAGAAATGAATTCACGGCCACTATAACAATTAAAGAAACCACGTCAATGTTGAAGAACATTGATAATTTCATCTCAAATTTCACAGTGATCATGCAATAACAGGCTGTGATTGTTGACAATTGCTGACAACATGTTGGAATGCAACATACAGAGCCTTCTTCATCATTAATGTAACATGTTAGACCCCCTTCAATTTAGCAGCACTAAACTATGAACAACCATGGAGGTGAACACTCGAAAATAACAAAAACACAAACATTAACTTCATAGTAACGTGGAAAAATAGTGATAAAGATGTATAATGACATTGCACAATGAAATTAAAAAGAATAAAAATTTCATACAAAGACACCAACAGTTCACCAACAATTCACAAATTTTTTATACGAATTTAATAAAAAATGTGCAAAAATGGGAGATGAAGATTGCAATATCCCGAAATTCAGCTACGCGATGCCATATCATAAACAAATCTAAATAAACTAGGGTGCCTTCACTATATAACTTTGTTTGCCGACAACAGTGAATCAAGAGCTGGTGGAAATGGATGGAAACGAGAACAAACCCATTGTTGGAAATGGTGAGGCGATGGCAAAACCCTCCGATCGAAGTACAGTCGTAGCATTGACGGTGATGTCGTCCGAAGTGTGGTCGGAGATGGTGATGTTCGGGTTCCAACTTGGGAGATTTGATTTGGGGGCTTAGGCTTCGTTTTGGGAGAAAATGGCACAGTTTTGTCTTGCTTTCGATAAACTTTACTCTCTCTCTCTCTCTCTCTCTCTCTTTTAATCAGTGCCACGTCAATCGGGAACTTAACTCTGTCAAAAATCCCTGTTTGCCTAGCAGCATTGTTAACTTTTATAGTCTTCCATATGCTAGGATTTACACTCCTGATTTTGAACACATCCGTCAAATCATTACACGAATTTCTTCCACGTAGGGTGGGATTTCAACCACAATGTACTACTAGTTTAATCCAAAAACATATTCAACCCTACTATATGTCCACGGGACAAGTATCTTTATCCAAACATATTTGCAAACTGCAATTAGGGATGTCAAACGGACTGAGCGCTCGTCGACTCGGCTCGTTAAAACTTGGCTCATGGGCGGCTTGGGCTGAGTAGGGAGCTCAATCTCACGAGCCGAGCCTACTCGACTCGTCGAGCCCATGAGCTGCTTGTGCGCCGTGTGCCCATGAGCTAATAAAAAAAATGCAAATTTACAAAAAAAAAAAGTCAAAATGTGCAAATTTATCAAAAAAAAATTTAAAAATCACGAGCTCTCGAGCAGCTCGTGGGCTTGGCTCGATCTACGCCTGTGAGCTCGTGAGTGAATATATTCTACAACAATGTTTGATTCTTCAAGTTAAATAACAAGATACCCTCGAGACCCAATAAAAACAAAATGAAAATTTCCTTAAAAGGCTCGAGATAAAAACGACCTTCACTTAAAATGTGCTTCTGTCAAAATAATTAGCATCTCTATATTAAACTTTTGGAATAAACAATCATCATAATTCTAATCACTTGACTAATTAATTAATAATAGAAAACAGTTGAAATAAAAAATGTGCAAGACTTGAAACACTAGATGAAATGCTATACTTAAAGACCAATACTCTTCTCGTTTTTTGAGTTTCCTTATGAAATTTACCAACAAATAGCTCCAAAATATAACACTAGTTTTCTTTTCATGGTTGAAACTCAATTTACACAATCTTCACTTGAGCAAAATGTTCTATCACGCCTCAATTGGCTAACCCACTTTAGCTATTATGCTACCTAAACCCAAACCACCCTGCATGTTGCCAAGGCCCTTTATGCTGAGCCTCCTTGCAACTCGACCGAAGCTAGCACCTCAACAGGGGTTTAGAACCATAGTGCCAAAGCCCACGATGCTGAAGCGGAACCCTCTGAAGCCCACATTGCCGAGGCAGAGGCCATCGAAGCATCTTTCTTTATCACTTCTTCTAAGAGATTTTCTTCCATACAGAAATCTTATCTGAATGACTGATAGAACGTTTGTCATGAGTGTAAAGGTTAAGTCTTGTCAACAAAGTGGTGGTGCTGCTTGGATAATAAATGATAGCAGGATAACAAGTCAAAAAGTGATGCTTAGGATTAGATGTTAGAAGTAAGGAGATGAGGCCACGTATATTCTCATCCAAGGGCCACCAATTTACTTGTACTACTATGAATACTCTCCCATGTAACCCTTTTGAAACCAATGCAACTTTAAATACAAAATATTACTCTTCATTTTCTCTCTCGCACACTAATGATATTTGCTTCATATTAGTTCACCGTGAGATGGCTATGTCTATCCCATCCTTCTTTGGTTCAATCTTTGGTGGCGATTATTATTGTATAATTGTTTCATAAATATATCTCGTGTTAATGAGCTACTCCCACACCTTGTTTCTAGTAGAGTTCTTGATCATTGGTTCGTCATAGCGGGTTAGAGTGGGTCATTAAGAGTTGGGGTCCATCTTAATAAGATCAACCTTATTAAGAGGAGTAGTTTAAGATCTTTTTAAGTCGGTCATTATTTTGGTGTTTAACCGATGTGGAATTTTTATCCCTTAACAACTCCGACATTTATTATCCGCGTGGTTTTAACCGAAAACGAGGTCAACGGGTTTTACACCACTTGCTCAAGCAAAAATGCCTATAACAAATTTTCATAAAAAATTCACACTTCGTTTCATGACCCAACTCGAATTAGCAGACAAGTTGAATCCCACATACAAGTGGGATTAATTTTATTTCTACAAACTCAAAGAAAAAGGATCTTGTATATCATTTTAATTAAAATGGTTAGCTTTGTAAAGACCTTGTATCGTTTTAATTAAAAAGATAAGCTTTCTAATGACCTGGGACGCCAAGCAAACTATACCATGTTGCTTGTGCTTGAAAGTATTAGAAAAATGCTACCATTTCACTTGTGCTTGAAAACACTAGGAAAACGCCCAAGAACACTAGAAATACTGTGTTAGATTTTGTGTTGGCTATTCTGTGAACAAAAGGGTAAAATTGTAAATGTTCAAAAGTTTGGGGTCAATTTGCAATGTTTAAACGTTAGGGATTAATTTGTACATGTGTAAAAGATGAGTGACTAAGTTGCAATTCTGTCAAAGTATGTTAGGGTTCGAGCTGTGAAGTAGGGCAAGATGTGTCGTTGAAGTTTCGCTAGCTGCTCACCAAATGGTCACTCGAGCGACAAAAACAGAAAAGTCTTCACTCTTTTCTCGTCCCCACTTCGTTCAAGTGAAATAGCATCGCTCGCTTTTCGCTTGAGCGACGGTGTTACCTAGAAAACCCTATTTTCCTTTTTTCGACATTTTGACCAGACCCAAATATCCTAATACACTTCATATAAATTAAATTGCGCCAATTCTTATACGTCTCTCTTAAGGATTGAAATAAAAGAAAAACTCTCTACACTTGATTCATTCATTCAATACAACATTTGATTCGCGCAATCACCTAAAAACATCAAATCTACATTCATCAAACACCATAACACAACCTTCCAGTGCTTTTGTTGATTCTTGGAGATCAAGAAAGGAGATCGAAGTCCGATCGTTAGAAAACAGGTTGTTCTCTTGAATCCACAGGAGATGGACGAAATCAAGAGCTGAGAATTGGTGTAGCACGCAATCTAGGAAGGCTAGGAGCCGAGAGTTGGTGTAGGATCACGCATTCCAAGAAGGCTTTGAGGAAATTATAGTCAAGAGGTCAGAAAAATCAGTGTAGGTTGAGTCTGGCAGATTGTAAGTTGTATTTTCGTTTATAGTAAATTCCTACTGGCTTGGGCTCGGAGTTTTACCCACCTTGAAATTTCTCCGTCAATAAACAATTGCGTTATTTACTTTTCTGCCATTAATTTATTATCGATATTCAAACATAGGATAGTAAAGCATGTAAACTGATCTGGACAAATTAATATTTGTGACGTGTTGCAATTATTAATTGATTGAAAAAGAAAATTTCGTATAGACACCTATTCACCCCCCCTCTAGGTGTTGATAGGGTTGAACTATGATATTTCAAGTAGTATCAGAGCCAAATCTCGAGTCCTGGCCCATAGTTGTCTAGATGAGTTAATAATTGTCTAAACCTCCGTATTTTGACGGAAGCAACTATGCCTATTGGAAGGTTAGAATGCGTGCTTCTCTTAAGTCCCTAGATGAACGTGTCTGGGTGAGTGTATAAAATGGTTGGAAACTCCTTCCACAATTGTTTTTGGTGTTGTAACCCCAACTGACATTTGCCTTTGGACTAAGGATGAATTGATTGATTGCAACTGGAATAGTAAAGGTCTCCATGCATTATTTATGTCTGTGTCTCCTGAAGAGTTTAGGAGAGTGTTAATGTGCGAAACTGCTAAAGAGGTATGGGACATTCTAGAGATAATGCATGAGGGAACTAAAACTGTGAAAAATTCTAAGTTGCTAATGTTGGCCTCAAGGTTTGAAGAAATTAGGATAAAGGATGATGAGTCTTTTGATGAGTACTATGCCAAATTGAATGGCATTGTTAACTCTAGTTTCAAGCTAGGTGAGAGAATTCCCGAGTCCAAAATTGTGAGGAAGGTTCTTAGGCCCTTGCCTGAGAGATTTAGACCTAAAGTTATAGCTATTGAAAAAAGCAAGGACCTGGACACAGTTAAGATAGAAGAACTTGTAGGATCCCTTCAAACCTATGAGCTCACCATTTCACAACCGAGGAAAAAAGTCCATAGCCTTGAACACCGTTAGGGAAGAGGAGTCTGAGTCATCTGACGTGGAAACTCTTAGAGACGAGGAGATTGCCTACTTTGTAAAGCCTTAAAGAGCAAGAAATGGCCCCAAGACAAAAAGAGAGGAGCCCCTAGTAAATTTCTAAGAGAGAAGAATGATAAATCAACTGCTAGGAACCCTGGTAAGAAATCTCAAGTGATTAGGTGTCGTAAGTGTCAGGGATTTGGGCACTATAGGAATGAATATCCCAACTTTAAGAAAAATCTAAAGAAGGGAAAGAGCAAGGCATTAGTTGTGTCCTTGACTGATGATGATTCTAACTCAAGTGATCAAAGTGATTCCTCAAGTAGTGAAGAGGAAAAGGGCTATATGGCTTTTGTATCTACTGTCAAGAGTAAGTTAGATAAGGAGAGTGAAAAGGTTAAGGAGGAGGTAGAGAGTAAAAAGTCCCGTGATGATTCTGAGGATGCGACGGATATACATGAGGCTTATCAACTTCTGTTTAAGGAAAGTCTCAAGATCAAAAAGGTAAATAAAGCCATATTTAAGAAGGTAGACAAGCTTGAGAGAAAGAATGAGAAAATCACTAATGATCTTCAAGTATCATATAAAAATCTCAGTGAGTTGAAGTGTGTCAATGAGAAATTAGAGAACAGGGTTACGACACTCACTTATGAGTGAGAGAAATCTAGTACTCAACTGCAGTCATTTATGAGTGGAACAAAGAAACTAGACGATCTATTAGGAATGAACAAACCAGCTGGAAATAAGCAAAGTCTAGGATTTGTGAAGAGTGATGACTATGTATCTAGTTCGTCTAAGACCACATTTGTCCCCGCTTCCAACAGGTCTAATGTTTCAACCAATCCAGAATCCAAAGGCAAAATGTTACTTAACTAAAGGCCACTAGAGCCCAAACTCGAACTATGTGTGCAGTAGTGCTAAAATTGATATGTCTGAACTTTGGCATCAAAGGCTCGATCATGTTAAGTACAGAAGTTTGTCTAAATTGGTTAAAAAGAAGATTGTCGATGGTCTACCTAAATTGATCAAAGTGAACATGCTGTTTTCAACCCGTGTCAACGAGGAAAGCAACTCAGGATAAACCATAAGCAAACCTCGAAAATCTTGACAAATAGACCCTTAGAGCTTCTCCATATGGATTTAATGGGACCATCTAGAGTGGAGAGCCTAGGAGGCGAACGATATATTCTAGTTGTGGTAGATGACTTTTTCAGGTACACCTGGATTGAACCGTTAAGAGAAAAATCTGAGACGGGTGATCCGGTTAAATCCTTATGTAAAAGACTCAAAATTGGACAAAATCTTTCCATTTCTAGGGTTTGAAGTGATCACGGGAAAGAATTTGAAAACTTCAATCTTGAAAACTTCTGTTTGGAGGAGGGGATTAAGCATGAGTTCTCCTCACCAATCACTCCACAGCAAAATGTAGTTGCTGAGAGAAAGAATAGAGTGCTTCAAGAAATAGCTAGGGTCATGCTTCACGACAAGGATCTAGCAATGCATTTCTGGGGTGAAGCTATTAACACCGCTTTCCACATAGTAAATAGGGTATACCTGAGATCAAAAACAGACAAGACTCCATATGAGATATGGAAAGACAAGAAGCCTATTGTTAAATACTTTCGTGTGTTTGGCAGCAAGTGTTACATTCTGAGGGATAGAGAAAATCTAGGTAAGTTTGATTCCAAAAGCGATGATGGGATTTTTCTAGGATATTCTAAGAACAATAGAGCCTACCGAGTTTACAACTTGCGTACTTAGAGTGCCATGGAATCTGTAAATATTGTTGTTGATGATGCCTTCGCTGAGGGGGAGAGTGCTGTAAATGGGCTAGATGTAAATGATCTAAGTGATGATCAAGAAGCCACTGTTAAAAATAAAGAGAAATCAATTCCAAAATCTCCACGCTCCTCTAAAGGTGTAGACATCTCTGATTAGGGTCTACCAAGTTGTGATCAATCTAAGCTTCCTAGAGAACCATCTTCCAGGATCAAATCTAATCATCCTAAGGTTAACATCATTGGGGATTTAGATGAAGTTATGATGTTACGAAAGAGAGTTCTAAATAACCTAACATATAATAGCTATGTATCCCAAATTGAACCTAAGAAAGTAGAGGAAGCCCTAAGAGATGAATGTTGGGTGAATGCCATACATGAGGAGCTTAATCAATTTGTTTAAAATAATGTTTGGTATCTAGTTCCTAGGCCTGATAATTGTAATGTGATAGTTACTAAGTGGATTTTCAAGAACAAAACTGATGACCAAGGTACCATAACTGGAAATAAGGCTAGACTAGTTGTCCAAGGGTGCACTCAGGTTGAAGGGATAGATTTTGATGAGACGTTTGCCCCTGTTGCTCGTCTTGAGTCCATTTGCATTCTTATTGTGGTTGCTTGTATCTTAGGGTTCAAGTTATATCAAATGAATGTCAAGAGTGCATTCATAAATGGAATACTAGAAGAAGAGGTATATGTTGAACAGTCGAAAGCATTCATTGACCCTAAGTTTTCTCATTATGTCTACAAACTCAATAAAGCACTGTATGGTCTGAAACAAGCTCCTAGAGCTTGGTATGACAGACTCACCACTTACCTAGTTGAGCATGGGTTTTCACGAGGTGGTGCTGATAGAACCTTATTCATTAGTCATATTGAAGAAACTAAAACTATAGCACAGATCTATGTCGATGACATAATCTTTGGCTCTCCCATTGACTCCCTTGCTCTTGAATTTGCTGGATGCATGAAACAAGAATTTGAAATGAGCATGGTTGGAAAGCTAAGTTACTTCCTTGGTCTTCAAGTGAAGCAAACTGATTGTGGACTGTTTATCTCTTAATCAAAATATGCCAAAGACGTTGTAAAGAGATTTGATTTGGACAATAAGAAACACACAAGGACACCCATGAGCACAAGTGTTAAGTTAGGACATGACGCTACAGGAAAAAGTGTTGATCAGATTGTGTATAGGAGCATGATAAGGAGTTTACTATACCTTACAGCTAGTAGACCTGATATAGCATTTAGTGTTGGAGTATGTGCCAGATTTCAAGCTAATCCTAAAGAGTCCCATCTAAGTACAATGAGGCGTATTATTAGATATATCAATGGGACAGTAAATCATGGGATCTTGTATTCCAAAGAGTCCAATCTTGAACTAGCTGGCTATTTTGATGCCGATTGGGCCGGAAATGCGACAATAGAAAGAATACCTCGGGTGGATGTTTCTATGTTGGTTCTAATCTTGTCTTATGGATGAGTAAGAAATAAAACTCAGTCTCCTTGTTCACAGCTGAGGCAGAATACATTGCAGCTGGTAGCTGTTGCACTCAACTGCTTTGAATGAAGCAAATGCTGAGTGACTATGGGATAAATCAGGGTACTATAACTGTTTTATGTGATAATACCAGTGCTATCAACATATCAAAAAATCCTGTTCAGCATTCTAGGACCAAACATATTGACATTCGTCATCACTTTATTCGAGAGCTAGTTGACTCCAATGTGGTGTCACTTGAACATATCTCTACTGAAAATCAACTTGTCGATCTGTTCACTAAACCTCTAGATGGGTTGAGGTTCAAGTCACTTAGTAAGGCTGTTGGCATCTGTGTTCCTCCTTGATCGTCTTCATAGATGCATGCATGTTTAGTTTATTTCAGTAATTCATTTCTGCATTCATGGCATTGCTTGTTTGTTTTCACTTGCATCTGTCTTTCATTTTGGTTTTTATATATATATATTTTGGACTGTTCATCACGTGTCATTTTTGCATTGAAGTTGTTCACTCGGACTTGCAATTTGAGATCAAATATGCATTCAATACATGATTAGTTTCTAATTCCCATTACTTATATTGAGTCTGTGTGGAGTATTTAGTATATGTCACTTCATATTCTATCTGCACAGCACACACTAGGACCGTATGAGTGACTCTTGACCGCATGTATGAGACTTGGGATGGCTATCATCTGTCATTGAGTTGACATTGGGTTTAAATTGATCTTGGACTAGGTGACCTAACTTCTGGTATATCCCCAAGTGATCCAAAAGAATATTATTTATTGTATTACATCTTATACCTATCTTTGGAGCTTAGTTGACTTGAGCAATTAAGTCTGAGGAGTTTCTCATAACCTGGTGTCCTAAAGCCAACTTGTTTGGGAGTCACCGACCCAACGCTCGTTATAGGGGTCTTCCTAGTAGCTTAATGGAGATGGGATTGCACATAAGATTTAAAATAAATAAATAAATAATTTGAAGGTCCTTGATGACAGGGGGAGAAAGAACAGTTTTACACCATATTTCAGTGAATTATAGATCCTGGTGGCATTGGATTTGACCTTCAAACATATGGATGTTGACTCATACGTCGATGACTTGGTTATCTCTTCTCAAAATTTAAGGTTTTGAGTCTTACTTGCATGGAATGAGTGGCATGTTTCACATGGGGTCACATACACAATTTACTCCATCTGTACTTAGTTCCAGTGTGTGGAGAAATATTTTCTAATCATTGAGCAAGTCGTATTTGTGATATATTGCATTTTGATTGGGCTTACTACGTGTGTATATTTCCTATTAAATAAAAAAAATTGGGGTCAAAATTCAAATTTATGTAAATGGTACTAATCTTGAAAGTTTCTAAAGTGGTGCTACATTTCAAAGTTCCAAACTTGGTGTTGGATTTTTCAATTTTCAAAACTTGGTGCTATTTTTGACAATTTAATCGTCGCTCGCTTGCCGCTGGCAGCTCGCTCAAGCGACAGAAGCAGATTGCTTGTCGCTCGATGTTCGCTCGAGCGATAGCAAGCCTTTTTATTTTCTAGCGACTGGGTTAAATTCATTTTTTTTTAAAATTTCTTCCATTAATTTCTCAAATCTTTCCTCACTAACGACGTTCGTGGTGTTTTTACTCCTCATTACCTGCGTGTGGGTTCTCATTCCATCACCTTGGTGTAGGTTTTACTTCATGTCAATCTCGGGTAAGGGCCTCTTGTGCCCTATTTTCAGTTCAATTTGGGGATTTTGAATTTTAAGTTTTGTTTTGCATCAATTACTTCATTCTTTGTGCATGTTGGAGTGTGGATTGTGACTTCCTTGCTTTAAGCTTTATTTTGCGCATTTGAACTTCATTTTTTGTGCTCATTGACTGCCTTATTTGTGCACCGTTCATTGTGGTTATTACTATACGTGGTTGGGAGTTTTTCTAGATGCTGGGTCGTTAGGTTGGTTGGGGATGCTCGTTGTGTTTTTGAATTGACTTGAATTGGAGCAAAACTTATATGCATTCTTCATGCCCATCATGTGTTCGATATTTTGCTTCAACCACATTATGCGGGACTATGTGGTACTGGTTGCATATGTAAGTGAAGTTCTGGCCATTTTGGTGTTCTCATGTCACTGCTCTATTGTTTATGTTCTTGGTCTCATGACCTGCAGCGTGTCCTCCTTCGTCCTGCAACAGTTACTCCTTACGTCTAAGTTACGTCACCTGCATTTATATATTGTCTTACGACTGCTGTGTCATGTATTTAGTTGGTCTTATATGCTTGCTACTGTTGCACTTTCCCTGCATCATTCTACGTGCCTGTATATGTTTGAGCATTGGATCATGAACGTTCATGCATTCCCATTTCTTGGCAATCTATGGGTCTTGATGTCCATTCCACATATCCTTTTTCAGATGGCACTATTTCAAGTTGTCTCCTAATTAAGAAACTGCAGGGAGTAAGAGTTTTATCCATCTCAGAATTTGGCCATTAAAACAGCCTCCCCTAGCACATGTCCTTGAATTGCCTCCAACATCTTCTCCTTCGTCACCTGTAAAAGACGACAATCTATCAATAGCATAGATCAAAACCATTCTCATTGGACAATGAGACTGTGACACTTAAAATACGAGTAACTAGGTGACCGCACTTGTGTTAGATTCAATTAAATACAAAGATTGATGACTCATTTATTAGGATCTGGTGTTATAGTATCACTTTGGCTAAATAATATTATTCAAACACACAAATGAATTCAGTCACTCATTCTTAATTAAAATTTGCATCATTAAATCTTCATACTATCAATACATGATATGAGGTGTTGAAAATAAATAAATATTTTCATCCGGTACCTTATTTCCAAAATGAAGCTCGTCGTCCAAGGCGTAAAGCTTGAACTCGAATCTATGCCCATGATGTGGCAGCACAGGCCCACGCCATCCCGGTTGCTTCCAATAATGAATCCCTTCCTTAATCTTACTATACTCCCCTCCCAACTCCTCTCCCTTCCCGGAAAACCCCTCCGGCAACCCCTTCAATGTCGGGGGTATATTCACCACTACCCAATGAACCCACGGCACAATTGGTCCATCAGGTTCCCCTCCATCAAGATCCTCCACCACCAACGCCAAGCTCTTTGTCCCTTCTGGCAAGTTGTACCTGTTGAAGACAAGAATAAGATAAAATATGATGAATTGTCTATAATCTGTTTCATTATAAATAACGAATAAATGAATAACACACATGACCAATTATAAACAGATCACAAGCAGATGCCAAACAAGGATCGTACCACTCGAGTGGTGGCGATATGTTCTTCTTGGCGCCTTGTCCCTCGCCGGTGTACTGCCTAGGCAATCTTCCCTCGTGATCTATATGAGGAGATACGAGCCTGAATTCATGACTTGGATCTGCCATTTCTTGCGCCTTCTTTGACTTCTTTCTGGATAAGTACAGGAATTACTCCTCTATATAGGAGGGAGTTTGCTTTTCTGGCTTTATGGGTCATCGACGCAGACACTTGTCCAAGGAAGTTTCGAGCTGGCTATAGAATTTCCCCATTTGATGACACGTTGTATGTGGTGGAAAGCGGTGGACAGTTCTGGTCAATTAGGATTGGGAGTAGAATAATCCGTAAGTTGGAGTGTGTAAATATGTGGCGGATAGTATGATGTACCCGAATAATGCGCCGGACCATCCATCAACAATTCGTTTCAAGATCCGAAACTCTGATATCGTGATCAAAATTCCAATTACGTCAAGGTATTTAGAAATTATAATGCGTTTGATTGTTAATATTTTTCATGAAAAATGTCATTTTTTCATCCAAATTATATTTTGTGCCGCTCAATTGATATTTTTTCATGAAAAATAGTTTCATATTTTTGATCACGTTACCATATTTACTTTAATAGGGAGGAATATGTTTTTATTTTTCGGGTAATTCACTCTTTATTTCTCTCTCGTCTACCGCCTCTCTTTCATCTACTTACCAATAAAAAATAGATCAGTATAACATTTTCTAGATTAAAAATAAAATCGATCAAATACATTTAATTCACAATTTTCATGCAAATAATTTTTAAGTAATTCAATTATCTGAAATTTATTTTCTTTTAATATAAATTCCATACCTGTAATCAAACACACCATTAATGTTAACAAGCTAAACTCATCTATTTATCAAGCTCAACTTAAAACTTTGCCGAATCATTAAACAAATTATATAATATTTATTATAAGTTCTAATTTAATTTTAAAAGGTATTTAGTAATACCATTAACATGTAAATTTGATGTACGCTGGAATTCATGTATAACTTTAGTGACGAAATCTATATATTTTAGCTAAAATACGACTTAAAAAATTTATACACGAAATCTATATATTTTAGCTAAAATACCACTCTTACATGCTACAATATAAACTTAACTATTTTTATAAGAACTAACTCAAAATTCCAATTACGTGGCTACATATATAGCCTTAAGTTGTTGAAGAGGCTAGAACTCGACATAGAGTAGAGTCATTGTAACACTCTCAGTCCTCTACAATTCTAATACATAAAATATCAGATTCAAGTCGAAGGGCAATGAATATGCAATATCTAAAAAGCTTGAATGGTCCCGAAACTCTACAATACATGCGAAAAATATCCCCTAACTTTAAATTAGCCTACAATCGCAGCTATTCAACAAAATAAATTCGGTCCAAGATTACTAATGAATGTCCTACCCAACTACGAATTAATAACATGGTATCCCATCTAATATCACTTTTCATATTTAAGATGCCAAGAAAGATAAATCTACATCAATTTTTAAAGTGCTTTCAAGCTTCAAATGGATTAAAAAAGTATTTCCCACAAAAATGGCTCGACTTATCCTTGTTGGCGATTAAATGTCAAAGTAACTTCAAATGGGATACCAAATCATTAATTTATTTTTCAGTTAGGATGTTTTTTTAGTAATTTTGGAGAGAATTCTTTTTTAGGACTAATGGGTACGTGTAAAGTTAAGGACTATTGTACTCCAATTTAAAATTTGGGGACTTTTCCAAATTTTAGTAAGAATTTTGAAGTTTTGGGATTGAATTCGCAAATTCCGATAGCCGTTTGACCACCAATTTTGGCATGACTGGTCAAATTTGGGACATTTTGTCTTACAATTATTCAGTTAATTAATTATTCCTGGCTAACTCAGAAACTTAATTATAATCGTCCTGTAATTGTCCATTAAGATGCAAATCCACCAATATTTGAAAAGGATTCCCCACTTTAGCTTGTCCACCAAACTCTCAAATCTATACCTCTAATTTTTGTTCACTCTGCAAAACTCTAGCAGATTCCCTAGATTCCCTGATGAAGGGCTCAAATTCAATCTCGGAGAACGAAAAGAACAGCAATATTGATGTTCACAAGAGAGAAGACGATTCCGCTTCTCATAATTGGCCTAGTTCCATAAGGATCACGGTTTCACATGGGCAAAACCTTCACGACGTCGTTGTGCCCGCTAACTCTACTTTTGGTATTTTCTTATTCTTTAGGATTTAGGTACATCCTTGTTATTTCTCTGTATTAATGATTCAAGGGCTTTAATAATATTTTTAGTCTGAACGGCACAATTTGTTTTTGCTTTGGTATAACTGTACACTTGGCTATGTATATAATGGGAATCTATGGTTGTTTATCTATTATGGGTGAATAATTTTTGGGGGCATTACTTGGTTTTTAGGTTTTATTCATGTTATTTGTTAAGATATAGTTTTTGGAAATCAATATGTGCTTCTAGACAGTGTAGCTGTGTTTGTAACTTTGGGAGGATCCAGGAGGCAAATAAATGCTAAATGAATTACAATGTGAAGTTCTAAAATAAAATATCGACTACTATTATACTGATTAATGTAAACCGAAATGAGAAAAACATAAGAAATCTCTCCATTATTGAGTCAAATAACAATTGTAAACCAACAAAAATGAATATTACTAAGGGAAACACCCAATGAAGATACACGTCAATCACACATTCGTTATGGTAGACTGTCTCGAGAAATTTAATTCAGCCAACATTTCCGTCTATTTGGATTGTTTGATGTTTCCTTCTGTAAATTTGCATAATTATTTTGGAGCTAAGTGGGTGTTTTTGTTCTTGAATTTGATGATGGATAGAATATCCCCCTACTCCTTTATTCTCTATCACTTTGTTTTTCTTGGACTCTTCATTTCCAGTATACAAATTGTGAAATTGGCTCTAAGTTTTTTCTCTTTTTGTGTGATAGAATATTTGTTTTTTTTTTTCTAGTAATGCTTTATTTGGGTACTTTACCTCTTTTTATTGCATCTAAAGGTGAAAGGGAAGGAATATATAAATCTATAATAAAATTAACTTTAGAAATGAGTGACTCATTTCGTCAAATTTGCAGAATCTTATGAATCTATTATTCTTGTTTCGTTTGGAAAAAAGCTCAATAAATTATGTAGCCTATGTTTGGCTCATGTTTATAAACTGTATAGAAATATTAAAACCACTTTTTATTTACATATTTCTAGGGACCCACAAGTAATACCTATTTTTCCATCATTCATATATATACATATAAACCGTTTATAAACAATTATCAAACATGTTCACAAATTTCTCATGCATTGAGCAAGAAATAAATAATAAAAGTGCCAAGAAAACCATGAAAAGTTAAATCAGCTCTTTTATATCTAAAGGAAACTAAGAATCCCAAAGGATACCATGGCCTCAAAACTCTGTTTCTCTGACCCAAAAATGTAACTCTTTAATTTAGGAAAAAGGAAAAGGGAAAACTTACCAGTCACCATAGATTCTCTTGGTGACAGGTGTAGAAAAAAAATGATGAAAAGTAATATATGTTTTTCGTGTTCTTGAATGACAGTATACCAACCTATTTATACAAGTCTATGAGATAAGAATACAACAAATAAAGAGATAAGAATACAGCAAACAAATAAACTAACCTAATCAACTCCTATTGATAATCACGTGATACATGGTAAGTGATATACTATCAATACTAGAGAGCATATTATCCCTTAACATTCATCCCCTCAAACCATTGGTTTGGACATTAGACCTAATTTGTCTCTCAAAAATTCAAACCGAGGACGAACCAATGACTTGGTAAATATGTCAGCTAACTGGTCAGAGGAAGAAATGACTGCACCTCAAGATTGCCAGCAGCCACTTGCTCCCTAACAAAATGGTAATCAAGTTCCACATGTTTGGTACGAGCGTGAAATATGGGGTTCGCTGTAAGGTAGATTGCCCCAAAATTGTCACACCATAGAATGGCACGGGAAGGAGATAAACAACCCAGCTCAGTAAGCAAAGATTGTATCCACAAGAATTCTGAAGTTGCATTGGCAATCGCTTTGTACTCACTCTCAGTTGAAGAACGGGCAACGGTTGGTTTTTTTTTGGCCATCCTAGAAATCAGATTTTTTCCAAGAAATATACCATAACCGTTTGTTGATCTTCGATCATCAAGACAACCTCCCCAATCACTATCACTGAAGCAATGAATTTGAAAATCTGAATTTTTTGTGATGAATAACCCAAGGCGAGCAGTATGTCGAAGATATTGCAGTAGGTGTTTAATAGCCTTCCAATGGTCATCTGTTGGGGAGTGCATGTACGGACACAATTTATTTACTGTGAAGGAGATGTCTGATCTAGTCAATGTTATATATTGTAAGGCCCCAATGACACGAAGATAATCATCACCATTTTGTAACAATGTGCCAACTGATTTTGAAAGAGAATGAGAGACAGATATTGGAATTGAACAAGGCTTACACTGAGACATACCAGTCCGTTCCAACAAGTCTGCAATATATTTTACTTGAGATAATAAAATGCCATCTGGAAGATAATTAATTTCTATCCCCAAGAAATAATTGAGTCGGCCTAAATCTCTCAATGGAAATTCTGATTGAAGCTGCTGTATAAGATTAGCAATGAGGGAAGGAGAAGAACCAATGATGATAAAATCATCAACATACACCAATATAAAAATGCGATGAGCACCCCTTTGCAGAAAGAATAAGGAAGTGTCGGCTTTAGAGTGAATAAAACCAAGCTTGCATAAAAAATTGCTCAGATGTGAATGCCATGCCTGTGGGGCTTGCTAGAGACCATAGAGGGGCTTATGAAGTTTACATACATGATCCAGTTTAGAAGAATTAATAAATCCAGTTGGTTGCTCCATATAAACTTCATCCTCAAGTGAGCCATGAAGGAAGGCATTCGATATGTCAATTTGATGAAAAGGCCAATGGTGAACAGTAGCCAAAGACAAGACCATGCGAATGGTAGTTGCCTTCACAACCGGGCTGAAGGTCTCTTGATAATCAAAGCCAGCCTTTTGATAGAACCCTTTTGCAACTAGACGGGCTTTGTAGCGCTCAAGGCTGCCATCTTTATGTCTTTTAATCCAAAAAATCCATTTATTAGTGATGACATTTTTGTTTGCAGGTCGGGGAACCAATGACCAAGTGCGATTATCATGTAAAGCCTTAAGTTCAACATGCATTGCCTCCAACCATTCAGGATATTTACAGGCCTATTTAAAGGTGGTGGGTTCAGTGTCAAGAAAATTTGGGGTAGAGGAGTGATAAGCAAGATGTGCTTGATGTTTGGAAATAGTTGTATTTCAAAGTTCCATGGGATGTGTGCGATGGGAGGTGGAATTATGATCTGATTTTTGTTGATGTGGATCTTGATATCGGGAAAGATCAATAACCAGGTTGAGATCAGTGTGGGTATGCTGGGGAAGTAGATTTTGAGAGGGATTATAAGTTTGAGAAATAATATGAGGTGAGGAACGGGAATAGAGGAAGTTTGGTGGGATGAGGACACTGGAGATAAAATAGGACTTGATGATTGATGGTGATGTGATGGAGGAGGAGAATTAGTTAAAGAATTATGTGAAGGGGAAGAGTTGATGTTATTTGAGGAGGGTGAGGTGGGATTTGAGGAAGTTTGGTGAGATGAGGAATTAGGTGGAGATAAGGAACTCTTACCTTGTAGAGAATCCAAAGTTGCATGGCATGTATGCATGACAATTAGCCAAGGAGAAGATGTAGATGTGTCCTTTGGCAGAGATTGTGGACCAGAATAGTTTTTAAATAAAAAGTGTTTTCATTGAACTTGACATGTCTGGCAATATAGATTTTATTGCTTTCCAAATCAAGACACCGAAATCCTTTGTGATTAGGAGACTCACCCAAAAATACGAAAACTTTGCTATGGAAAGAGAATTTTTGTTTATTATAAGGTCTTAATAAAGGAAAATTTGCACAACCAAATATTTTAAATTCAGAATGGTTCGGTAAGACATGAAATAATTTTTGGAATGGGCACAAATTTTGTAGAACTGGTGTAGGTAGATTACTTATTAGAGTTGTGCCGGAATCAAAAGCATATAGTCAATATAGATGCATGAGCTAAAAGAGTAAGCCCAGTCTCAACAATATGTCGAAATTTTCTTTCGGCAACACCATTTTGTTCATAGGTATATGGACAAGCAAGACGATATATAATGCCATGTTGGGTGAAATATTTATTTAATTTTTGATATTCGCCTCCCCAATTAGAATGAAAAGCACGAATTTTAGTCTGAAACTGGCGTTCAACAAAAGATTGAAAATTAAGAAAAACAGAAAACAAATCATTCTTATTTTTGAGGAAATAAATCCAAATATAACGCGTAAAATCATCAACAAAGATAACAAAATATTTGTGACCCAAAGGAGATAAAATAGGTGCTGGACCCAAACATAAGAGTGGATAATATCAAATGGCACCTTACTTTTATGATCAACAGAAGCTAGAGAAATTTTTGATAACTTGCCTAAAAAACACGCTAAACAAGACAATGATTTAGAATTACTAGAACTCAACAAATTATTGGATTTTAAAATGGATGAAATTGTTCGATGATGAGGATGGCCCAATCTTTCATGCCAAGTTGACAGCGGAACAACTGCAGCCACATTAACTTCTTTCCTTGGTGATCAAAAAACATACATGCCATGTTGACTCAGACCTCTGAGTAGGATTTCCTTGGTCACCTAGTCCTTAACAAAAAAATGAGCAGGCCAAAATTCAAAAAAAAAAAAAAACATTTGTTATCTGTGGTGAATTTTTGGACAGAAAGAAGAGATTGTTGAATTTTAGGAACATGAAGAGCATTGTTTAAAATAAAATTTCGATTTGAGGAATGATAGGTGGTAGTACCTGTATGAACTATTGGCAATCCTTGTCCGTTTCCAACTCGCAATTGATCAGGTCCCTTGTAATCATGAGTAACACTTAGATTTTCTATATCTGGAGTAACATGATGTGTTGCCCCGGTGTCTGGTGTCCAAGGAAAAAATTGAGTACCTTGATAGAATTGATTATTTGACACCGGTGGAGAAGGGGGTGCCGTCCACATCATGTGTGCCTGAGGAGCCTGTCGTGATGAATTCCGTCTTGGGGTATAGCGGTGTCGACACTTATCTGCTGTGTGATTCTTAAACCCACAGATTTGACAGGTAACTTTGCCACGTCGTGGGAATGAAGGCCAAAAAGAAGGACCAGATATGGTGCTTGGCACAGAAGTTGACGACTGAAGCAAATGTGTCATGGAAGAGGCTTTTTATAGGCAGCATTTGCAATAGGTAATTCTTGACAACTTTTTAGGAGAATCTCGCGGGCAATAAGCTGCCCGTGGAGTTCATGAAATGAGACAGGCTCAGGTCTCATATTAAGAGCAGTTATGATGGCATGAAATTCTGCTCCAATGTTGCGATAAATAATCGCATTGAATTCTGCCGACGAAATAGTGCGACCGGCAGTGGCAAGTTCATCAGCTAATGATTTTGCCTTTGAAGAAAGGCAGACACAGATAAATCATGCTTCTTTAATTCTTGTAATTCTATGTGAAGCTGAAGTTGTTGATTCAAGTCCAATCACATAAGGAAAAATCTCTTCACTTAGTGAGGACATTAACCAAGCAAGGGGCATTTGATCATTTTTATACCAGTTCAGATATTCAGGGTTGGGTATTATCTCAGGTGGATTGGTGGTGGTAGTAATGGTTTTGGGTGGTGCAGTTTCAGTTCCATCAATGAAACCTTTAAGGTTTTGATAATTCAGTAGTGGTAAAAATTGAGTTTTCCAAGCTAAATAATTTTTGGAATTAAGTTTTATAGCAAAAGAATGATGGGATGATGTTGTAGAGGGTGAAGTAGATGAAGGAAGAACAATAGCAGTTGAGGTGTTTGACATATTGTTGCCTATGGCTCTGATACCATGTAGAGAAAAATGATGAAAAGTAATATATGTTTTTCGTGTTCTTGAATGACAATATACCAACCTATTTATACAAGTCTATGAGATAAGAATGCAGCAAATAAAGAGATAAAAATACCGCAAACAAGTAAACTAACCTAGTCAACTCCCAATGATAATCACGTGATACATGGTAAGTGATATACTATCAATACCAGAAAGAATATTATCCCTTATCCCTTAACAACAGGTTATTTCTGCCAGAGCGGGGAAATGCAAATGATGGAAAGTGTGTAAGTAAGGTGAGTGATTTTTTTGGCTGGGAAATTACTCTTTTTGAGATCCTTGCTGGTTCTTGTTTTAGTGGGGTCGTAGGTCACCACACTGCATGCTTATGATATATTTGCTCTGTTAGTTAACGCACACTTTCCAAACTAAGCTTGGCATGCTCTGTTGAAAGGATATGATTTGGTGCAGTTGAATGGATCAAGTCTTTGATAGTACATTTAGATTATCACTATTTAAATATTTCGCGAATCAGTTTGGCTAAGTACTGAATTTTTGAATGCAGGGGATCTGAAATTAATGGTTACCCAAAATATTGGTTTGGATCCTGAGATGCACAAGCTCTTGTTCAGAGGAAAAGAAAAAGAAGATAATGAACATCTTCAGTTCGCAGGTGTGAAGGACATGTCAAAGGTATTACTCATGGAGGATACGACATGCACAGAGGAAAGGCCTGTAGAAGTTGCACAAACAAGTGTGGTTTCAAAAGGAGGTGCTGCTGTTGCTGAAATCAGAAAAGAAGTTGACAAGCTTTCTGAACAGGTTGATCTCTTCTCCTTGGTATATTTTTCTGTTTTTCTTTTTCCTTTTGTCATCTCTTGTTTCTTTGCACACTGTACAAGTGGCTTGGTGTTATTGAATCACAGGTGTCTGCATTGCAAGTTGTTGTGGATGGTGGAACCAAGATTGATGATAAGGATATTGTTTATGTAACAGAGATGCTTATGAGACACTTGCTTAAATTGGACGGCATTGAAGCTGAAGGAGAAGGGAAAGTGCAAAGGAAGATGGAGGTTAGTTGTCTACTCTGCATAGGTGGTTATATTTTTGGTTTTTCAAATGGGAGTATAAGCCTTCTTCTCATCTTTTCTTTTCATGTAAAAATGTATACTGTCGTCTTGAACATCACTCATTCACATGGTGACTTCCTATACCCTGGCCCTTCGATTTCATTGCTAAACCCTTAAATTAATAATGCGAGCTATTCCTGATTTTCCAACATAATTGACCATGTGATATTCATTTGATAATGAAATAATCAGTTGCTCTAATTAAAACTTCAACGTGAATGGGAAATATAATAGATATTGTCCCAACTCCCAGTAGACTAAATCAACAACTCTGCTACTACCCCTGTGCACAACCACACAAAAATACCCTCCCCATTACCACCCCCATATGAGCGCAACTACCAGCACCTCCACCTCCTCCAACCACTACCACTATGTTTATTCAAATCCTCACTACATTGCTGTCCAACGCCTTGACCACTCAAATTCAAATGGGAAACCTTCCACGACAATCAAATAAATCAAATATAAACCTGGGATATCCATAAACTAATTGAAACCCTGGTTCATGTGCAATCCATATCTGAAATCTGCTGGTGGTAGTAATTGTAGGATTTGTTTCTCTCTCAACAATGATGTTTAGGCCTGGAGTTGGTGAAATGAACATCATCAATTGATGTTCCTCTTGAATAACGAATCATAGTACCAAGATATATGATGGGCTATAGGGCTCTATCTGGCGACATTCAATCTGCTAAAATTAGTGCTTTTCTTTCTTCCCTATCCAAATCAATTTGATTAGTTTGAGGAGTTCATGGGCGTTTCTTTCTCTTCAATTATCAGTATTAGATCTCTTAAGAATTGCAGGATTGCTTCTTAATAAAATTATGTTTCTGATGAACTTAATAAAGAACTTGATGTCACAGTGCAAGAAAGGATAAAATTGTTAGCAATTGTATGAATATATTTGCTGAAGAATTTGGTTCTCTTACTAAATAGATCTCAGTTAATAATAGAAGTTACTTCTGTACAGTCTTGGGTATTTTACCAAGGAAATCTATAACAACATCATATATATTCCATTCAGGTGCGCCGTATCCAGAGCTTTGTGGAGACAATGGACATCCTTAAGTCAAAGAACTCCAATCCCTTTAGCAACACCGACAATTCTGTTTCAGTTTCAACTGAGTGGGAGACGTTTGAATCTGGTTCTGGAAGTGTAAATTCCATGCCCACTGGACCATCTTCTACTAAGGTAATTCAGGATTGGGATCAATTTGGCTAGTCCATTTCTGGATTGTACTATCACAATTCACAAAGTCCGGAGTACAAAATGCATTAAACACTTGCATTGTTTTGATATTCAGAGGCTCTAGGCCTAGTAAAAATTTTGATGTATAGACCAGTGGTTATTATTACATATCAATCTCCATTGATGTAAATTGACCTTATCCATTCTTCCTTTCGATGCTTTAAAGAGCCTTATATCCTCCCTGCATTTAACCATCTAGCGCATTACGTGGCATGAAATGAATTATCTACAAAGGCGACCTCCGTATGAACTTTTGAGTATGATCTGATAGCTGGGAATCACGCCAAGATTAATCTAATTTCCATGGTCAATGAGACAGTCTTGTGATTAACAGCAGGTTCATCGTACTGATAATGGAATAATGAGAGTCATTCATTTGATTTTCATTTTTTTCCCTTAAAAATCATCCTGTTTGGTATCTGTTAAAATAATACTACAAATACGATTTTGCATTCTGCACTGTTTTTTAGATGACAAATCAGGTCGTTTTACATTTCATCGAAAACTATGCTAGGGAAATTATAAGTTCAGTTATTTTTTATTTTTTTTAGAAAAAAAAAGTTTCATTATTGTAGTTTCTCAAGAGTTAGTGTAGCTCCTCGCGAAGTTGCAATGCTTGTAACTTTTAGAAAATTATAGTAATTCTAATTCCCTGGCATATTTTAAAACAAAATGTTAAAAAATAGGATTTTTTTGGTTCAATTTTGACCCCTAATTTTTATTATTTATTTATTTTTTTGGGGGTAATCTCCCCTAGATAATATAACAACTAATATGAACACCTTTTTAATTAGAATAATATTATTCATAGTGAAGATTATTGATAGTCGCCTTATAAAACATATATGTGACAGTTTGTTATTTGATATATGAGATTAATGAAGGACGACAATTGGTAGTCTTCGAATTCTGATTAGCATTTTTTTCATACTTGACCAAAATAATTGAATTAAGAACCACACAATGCGCTGATACATCCTCGTGATTATCGTTATTTTTTTTTATATCAATTACAATATTCAAACAAAAATTTAAACATATACGCCTTATACTTAAAATCACAGCTCGACTCGACCTAAATACTACATTATTTCGTACTGTTCTAACACAAATTACCCACCACCAACTGGTATTTTCGGGTGTGGAATCATTGAACGTACTCCACCGTGTGATATTCAATTAGCTATATAATGAGTCAACTTCTAATTCCAATTATAAGAGAAAAGTAATACAAAACCAAGGCGAAAAATTGCAATGCACAGTCACAAAAAGTTTATAGTGAATAACCTTCCAAGTGTGAATTATGTCTATTTTCATTCTACTAAAGAAAAAAGTAACTAAGGGGGTCTCGAGTTAATTGTTTCAATGGTCATTGAACTTTGGTCCATGTCTTTGATTGGTCACTGAAATTTAAAATGTCGAATTTTAATCACTGAACTTAGATCAATGTTTTTGATTGCTCACTGAATTTAAGTTCATGTCTTAGATTGATCACTAAAATTTAAAATGTCGAGTTTTGGCCATTGAACTTTGAAAATGTCGTACGTTACTCACTAGCATAATTGTTGAATTTTGAAAAATATCGAGTTTACAGTGAGTAATGTACAATATTTTTTAAAATTCAGTAAGTAATGTATAATATTTTTCAAAATTTAGTGACCAAAACTCGACATTTTAAGTTTCAGTGAGCAATCGAAGATATAGACCTAAATTCAGTGACCAAAACTCGATATTTTAAATTCCAGTGACCAATAAAAAACATGGATCTAAGTTCAGTGACCATTGGAACAATTAACTCTAGGATCTCACTCCTCTCTAATCACAATAAATAATGAGTTAATACGAATGGATTTCAACAATCCAATATAATCATAAATAGGAGGATTCATGGCTTGATCCACCTAAACAACATACGGTTACGCATTGAAGCAGAAAAATGTGATAGTACAACTTGACACAAAACCCTAACTATTCTTCTATTTCGAATGAAATTTTCACTTAATCTATTATGTTTCTCCAATTCCCTCTGTGACTAATTACTGGTTCGGTTCAAGTATTTCAATACTTGAAACCAACCATTGTGCTTCAAATATTATATAGATAGAACCATTCGACGTCAAGTAATTACTAGGATCGAACCCGAAGCGAAATCGTTAGTTTTGATTTGGGTTTGGTTCTATCCATAATATTTTTTTCTTAAAAAAAAAAAAATCATAAGTTGACAATAATAATTACTTTTTGATATCTAGCAGAAATAGAAGAAATAAAATATATCACCAAATACATGTTTCAACACTTTCTTAATTCAATGTAAATATGTCACCAAATAATATCAAATACTTAGCATAATGACATCCAATTTCGATTGTGACTCCGCATGCGACACCTCAAGAAAGGTTTCTGAGACAAACAGCGTGTAAAGTGCGGTCTGAAATGACTATGAATGAAAGCAATATTATTCAATTATTCAAATGAATGAATCAAATTAAGTAGGTACCTACTATTTGGGCCAACCGCTAGCTGGGCCTCAAAATTATACTTATTGGGACAGGTTTAGGTTGAATAAAATTTATAAGAATTGACAAATTTGATTTTAGAGTCGGGTATCTACGGTTCCAATTTAAAAATCAAGAAAGGACCCGGATTTGATCGATTTTCGATTGTCAGTTCTGGTTCCTAAATTTTTTATTTGAAACCCATTCGGATTCGATTTCAGTTCGATTCCAATTAAAATGTACACCGCTTGTTTTAATTTACTTATTTTGTTTTTCTAAAATTAGGTTGCACAATAATATATTTTTCACGTAAGATCAAAACATTTTCTTACTTTTAATCACACATTCTTCAAATTTTTTTTCTCCAATTTCTCTTTATAATGACTATCAAACAGGGACCAAGAAACAAAAGTTTACCTTTTTTCTGGAAAATAAGTCAAACAGGCTCGCTTGGCTTCAGCCTTCAATAGGTAAAGGCTTATTTCCATGAAAATTTTGTTAACTTCCTGGCAGAACTGCTAGACAATTCAGTTAGTCCCAAAAAAAAAAAAAAAACACTTCATTCTGAACACTTTCCAATGAAGCATCAACTGGATATTCATAACTAAAGGATAAATAGAACATACAGTATTACCATACATGCATGTCCAGTAGGATCATAAACAAACTGGACAGTATTAAGGAAAAATAAGCTAAAAATATTGTCTATAGCACTGTCCAATAGTGTTCAATACCGAATGTCAAACACGCCCTATAATATTCATGCTACAACACAAGAAGAAAATTATGCATTCCGTGAACTAGTACCTCAAGATCTCACTTAGAATTACCCTAATTCATAGAGTCAGATCCAGAGTACTTGCCCCTCTTGCATTTTCAGTATTATTATCTTCTTTTAAGTACTTAAGCTTTAAGAATGACGGAGTGTACAACGGCAGGGATAAGTTGTTTTCATCATTTCTTGATTCTACCCCAAGTGATAAATTCAAATCCAGGTCAGAATCTGTACCCAATTTTCTCTTTAAAGTTGTCTGCTTTTGGAAATTTGTTGTGCCGTCGAGATTCATGAAACCAGCGTTCTTAAGATTATAGGGTTGCGCAGAAAGGGAAGGAAAGGTCACCGTTTGTGATTCTCTTGTAGTTGGAACCTCCTGATTTTGAGGGAATCTTCGAAAATTGGAACTGATTTTATCTTGAAATTTCTGTTCCTCAACAGGGTTTTGTCTTGCTTGACCTGGCCAGGATCCAAATTGATCATCTTTTAATTCATGGCTGTGCCTAACGGAGTCTTCATTGGAAAAGGAAATTCTTGTGCAAAAATAATGATTTGCTAAGCCATTACAATGTCTGCTCAAGATCCTTTCCGTGTCTGTACTATAACATCCGGGTCGGGTTTTGTTAAGTGTATGTTGCCCCATTATAGAGTTTTCCATCCATTTCCCATTGCCATTCCAGGAAGCATCTGCATATCTGGAGAAAATCTTTGAATCTTGATGAGTGTGTACACTATAATTAATTAACTTCACCATGTGCATATTTGGTATAGTTGACAACATAATAAACAAGATATTAACTTAGGTTCGTTCTTTAACACTGTCTCGACTCTTTTACTATCCAATACTCTTATCAAACATGTCTCTACACAATTAATGAACCCTAAATAATTATGAAATCTGCTTGTAAATTAAGACACATGCCTTTGATTAAAACTTGGAAGAAGAGGAAGCTGCCTTAGATTGTAGATATTCCGATCTGCACGACCCGTCAAAAGTGTTTGATCTGCCATCCATATATGACACGGAAGGATTTTATAAGCTACTAAAATGAAAACCCTAATTGATACTCAATTTTAAAGAAATTAGGGTACCTTGAGTGGGCTCATCAATCTTCTTGTTTCTATACATCTGTTTGAACATCCAAATATCAAATTAACTCTTAATAATCTTTTCCAATTTCCATTAAAGGAGTAATTAAATCTGTATGTATTTTTTTTCTGTTATCTAAAAATTTGCAATGTTTACCTGTAAATGGCTCTTGATATGAGTGATATTGAGCTCTTTGATTTTCATCAATTCAAGTACCATCTTTGGTGTTGCTCCTGCAAAAGAAATTATCAAATTGAAGATTAAATACAAATAAATAAAACCCATTTCCAATTATAATCCCAAGAAGTTATTTGAACTGGAGACAATTTGTTAAAACTCACTATCTTCTCCACCAAGTTTCTCTACAGCATGAACAAATCGCCAATGAAGCTCGGGTGTCCACCGGAGTCGAGGTGTCTTGGATCGAGCATAAGGCCTCACGGTCAGCTTAATGTTATAGCCCTCTTCAACTGTACTATTGCTTGAACTTCGCATCCCATCTTTCGTCTTACCAAATTCATAAATAATTGTCCTCTCAGTACTTTCATCCTCGTCATCATTTTTCGCAGAAGGGCTCACCTTTGAGCATTCCGCGCCACCACTAATTCCCTCCATCTTTTAATTAATTGCCTTCACTTTTCGACCTATTTCTTGAAATTATCCTATCATCTATGCACAAATTAGTTTAGCTCGAAAAGATGACTTATATAATTATATCAACTGGGCTAGAGAATATTGACGATCTACAGCTCAATAGACTATATACATTAAAACCCTAGATCAGGAGAGGAAGATGGAAGACTTCTCTCTCTCTTTCTCTCTCTATAACAATAATTTAGAGAAAATCCATAGGAATCTGACTAGAAATGTGTATGTATATATATTATATGTATGCATGATCATTAGATCCATGATGTTATACAGCACTCATGTGATGAGGGCCCGATCACAATTGGTCACCTTGCTTCTTGATTATACAAGAAAATTTTCATGAAAATAAGTACTTTTGTATTAAAGAAAAACGACTTAAAACTGCTGCCATGGTCTTTTCGTAGACCTAGAACCGAGTTTGTCATTTGTGGACTAGTTCAACTTATGTTTATATTTTTTTATTCTAATTTCGAAAAGACTGCAAATCCCAGAAATTTGGTTCCAAATAAGTTCGAAGTAAACTTTTCTTACTATTTTGTCTCTTTATAATTGGATAAACAAACCTCGAGACCAACCAATTTTCTATAGTAAACCAAGATAAAGTTGAACCATTTTATGTATATGCCATCAAAACCGAGAGATTCTAACGTCAAACAATGGCTTATAAAAGTCTTTACTCACATTAACTATACAAGACAATTCCTGGAAATCCTCAGTTTTGAGATATGGCGACATGGCTGTAAGAAACTGTCATGGAATGTTATTTAAAAGGAGAAGAAGAAAAAAAATTGCATGTTTGCAGCTATCATTGCGTCGGGAATCACGGGGTTTGTTCTTATACTCATTCTGGGACCTAAAATTATTTTCCTCACTCACCAAATTCTACACGAATAACAACAATACTGTTATAAATATTAAATACACGTAATGTATCCCCACTTAATTAATTTTCTACTTAGGGTTTGTACATAGTTGACAACTTGATTTTACGGGTTATATAAAAATTAGAGGATTGTGGTACATTATTTCAAATTAGTTATATTATTTTGAAGTTAAAAATACTTTTTATTGGACCAGCAAGACTGGACATTTTGAAAACAAATAATGAATTTGACGCTCGGGCGTTGCTAATGTATTTTGTCAATAATCTAGAATTAAATTTTGAGACTATTTTGTCAATGACAGGGACATAGTCAAAATTTTATATATATATATATGTGTGTGTGAACAAGTGAGATTAGTTTAATCTTATACCATAGGTACTGTTCAATAGGTTCAAATCGGTTTGAAATCCTGGATGTCTGCTGAATAGACGTTGGTCAGCCCTGTAGACGTTGGTCAGCCGTGTTAGGTGGTCCCGTTTGTAGGCTTGGTAAGAACCAATCTATCCTATTTTACTGTTTTTATTGTGTAATTTTAATTTGATTTCATTTATTCAACTATGTCTTCGGTTTCAAATTGGTTAAGGAGATCTAGGTCTAGAAATAGATCACAAAATCAAAATGAAAATAGTTCAAATATTTTTCAAAATGAAGAAGAAGTTGACAATGCATCAAATTCATCTGCATCTGCATCAAATGATTCCAATTCAAATGAATTTCAAATTGCAAAAATTGAACAACTTCAAAATTGGACTATTCCAAAGATAGACAAACATTCTATCTATGAAATAGGAAAATTTGATTTCACTCAAAATTATGTTATCAAAACTTTTGAACAAATTATTTCGATTAATAGCTCAAATGCATTCATCAATTTATTTTCAAAAGAATCAATTGAATCGCATAGAAAGAGATTTAAATATCTTCATGTTGATTTAGTTCAAATTGCTGTTAAACCATTGTTTAGACTTGGTTTAGACATTCCAATACTTATTACTCTTAGAGATAAGAGACATCTAAATTTCAAAAACTCTCTACTTTCACTTCTTGAATCAAACCTTGAAAGTGGTCCAGTTTTTTCAAATTGTTATCCAAATTTTTCAATAAAGCTTTCAGATGGAGCAGTTTTAAATGCTCTAAATCTTCATATTCAAACTTGAAATCTTGAGTTTGATAGTCGATCAAATGCTTTTGCTGTAATATACAGGATATATTACAAACTCATGAACACTCAACTCAATATTGGCGCTCTTAGATCTTCTCCAAAAGAAGAAAGTCTTTTGGTTGAAGTCAATCCTTTTCATTCAAGTGTCGAAATTCCTAAAAGAATTCCCTGGAATCTTCAATCCAGAAATTTAGAATGGAATTTTGATAATATTCAAGCACCAATTCCAGCTCAAACAAATTCAACTCCAAATGAGATATTAACTTTTTCTGATGGAAAAGCTAAAGTTATTTTCCAAGGATCTTCATCTAGAATTCCCAGATCTAACTCTTCTAGATCATATAGATCTGAAGAAAGAACTAAGAATTCTTTTCAACCTTCAAGAAACTCTACCTCAACATCTTTCAAAGGAGTAGATTTCACTCCTAACATTCCAAATCATTTTTATCAACCTAAAGAAAAAGAAGAAGACACTGAGCAACCAGGGTCTCCTACTCTTTCTGATATGGTTCCTCCTTCAAATTCTGATTTTGATCATCAATGTAATGTAATTTCTTCTGAAATTGATAGAAGAAAAGAATTCAAAAATGATCAAAATATTCAAATTAAAAATTTCCGAAAAATTTTTAGACATCAATTCTCTTCAAAAGAAAAAGAACAATTTTGGGAAGAATAGTTTAAATCTTCTATAGAATTAAGTTTTTATGATTGGATTCAAATCAAAGTTTTTGGAAAACAACCAGAAAAACCTCAAATTTTTACTACAAAAAATATTTCAAAATCATGGAAAACTCCTGAAGGAAATACTTTCCAATCAATTCATCCTCCTTTACAAGATATTTCATATACCCATGGTAAAACTGAAATTCTTGCATCCCCACTCAAAAGAGTTTCAAATTCTAAAGAACGACTTGATGAATCTCAAATTGTTGCTAAGGATATCAAAAATATTCAAGCTCAGAACAATTTTACAAATATTGTTCTTCAATCTGTTTGCTCTCAACTTAATCGTATTCAATCAAACTCTGAATCTAAAACTTCTACTGTTCCAAAAGATTCTTTTAAAGAATATCGAGACAGTAAAAGTAAAGATAAAAATATTTCAAAACCTTCTTCATCATCTCCGATTTTCAAAAATGATGATATTATTCCTACTTTTGGAAAATCTACACAATCTCTTTCAACAGAAAATGAAGTTCTTTCTGAACTTGTTAATCAATTAAAAAATTTTCATGTTTCAAAAAATATTAATACAATCGATTTTGATGAAATCGAAAATCAATTTACTGATGAAAAATTTGATCAGATTAACAAACTTAGAAAATCTGATTATCAAAATATTCCAAAATTTTATCCTCGTCCTTCATTTCCAGATCAACTTTTTGAAGAAAAGTTGCCTCCTCAAAGATCATACGATGGTTCTTCCGGTGTGGAATGGAACATAGATGATCTTACTGAACATCAAATCATCAATCTTTTAGGACAAATGACCATTTGTTACAAAACATTTTTGGCAAAAGGAGCCACAAGGCTTCAAGCTACTAATAATATTGTTCTTGGATTCACTAGACAGCTTGGTCAATGGTGGGAAAATTATCTCTCATCTACTTCAAAAAATATTATTTTCTCTGCTGTTAAACGTGATGAAAATAATAGTATTATTAATAATGAACAAGGAGAAGCCATTAACGATAGTTATTCCGTTCTTGGATTAGCTATTATCAAACATTTTATTGGTACTCCAGAAAATTATATTCAATTCCAAAATGATATTCTTATGAATTTAAGATGTCCAAAACTTCAAGATTTTAGATGGTATAAAGATATGTTTTTAACACGTATCATGCAAAGAGAAGATTATCAACAATCTTTTTGGAAAGAAAAATTCATTTCAGGACTTCCAAAACTTTTTGCTGAAAAAGTTAAAAATTCAATTTTAGAAGAAAATAATGACCTTCATCATCTTACTTATGGTGAAATTATTAATTTTATCAATAAGGAAGCTCTCAATTTATGTAATGATTTAAAACTTAAATCCAAATTGAAAGCAGAAAAGAATCAAACTCAAAATGAGTTAGGATCATTTTGTGAACAATATGGATTTGAGAAAATCTTACCACCTTCTTCAAAATCAAGAAAAATTCTCCATAAGAAAAGATTTTCAAAAAGAAAATACTTTCCTGAAGAAAATTTTCATAAAAAGAAAACAATTTTCTAAAAGAAAATTTTCAAAAGATTCTCAAAAGAAAAATTCAAAAGTTACATGTTGGAAATGTAACAAAACTGGTCATTATTCCAATAGATGCCTTCTCAAAGAAAAAATCAGTACTCTTCAAATTGATGAAGATACTAAAACTCAACTTCTCAATCTTATTCAGTCTAGTTCTGATTATGAGTCTAACTCTGAATTAGAACAAGTTTTTATCAATCAAGAAGATTCTGATTATGAATCTACTCAAAATTCTGATTCTTGTACTTCTTCAAATGATAAAGAAATTTGTGGTTGTAAAACTATAAATGTCTTAACAGGAGAAGAAGAAATTGTTCAAAATATCATTGATAGGATTGATAATCCTAAACTCAAAGAGAAATTTTCATCTTTGACTTCATCCTCTACATCAAAAGAAAACTTTGATGATATCAATCTTACTAATATTCTTCGACGTGCTCAAAAGGAATTTTCAAAACCTAAACCTTCAATTCCTGATCTTCAAGGTGAAGTTAAAGAAATGAAATCTCAAATTTCAAAACTTGAAAAACATGTTCAAGATATTCGTATTGAAATAGTTTGTCTTAAAGCAAAAGACTTAACCAATGAATATTATTCTCAAAATAAAGGAAAATCCAAAGTTTCCTCAAAAACTCCTTCACATCATTCACAACATTCTGAATCATCTTCATCTGATTTTTCATCTACTTCAAAACTTCCTCAAACTGAAGAAGAAAAGATTAATGTTATTAATAGAATTCAGTTTCAGAAATGGTACTGCAATATGACTATTGTAGTCAATAAAGAATTCAAATTTACTACTCGTATCTTGATTGATTCAGGTGCTGATCAAAATTGTATCAAAGAAGGACTTATCCCTACAAAATATTTTGAGAAAACTACTGAACGCCTATATGGTGCTAGTGGTA